TTCTGAGACTGGCTGAAGCCGCTTCAAAACCAAATGTATTTAGGACCTCCTGAACCTGGCTTTTCGCTTGCTTTTGGTCGGTTCGGCACCCCCCGCCTGGCGCAAGGGGCCTCGCGTATACCAGGGAAAAGGCAAATGCAAGCCGAAGGCATGAGGATGACCACCGCCCCAGCTCAGTGGATTACCACCTGGCAAAGTCGGATGAGATCAGCCGAGGCTTCGAGTGTCATGCGCGTTTGAGTGAAGTGCAACGTTCATCGGCGCCTGAGCAATGAAGGTTGGGAATTCCCAAGAGCTCTGCAGCATTCTTGATGTCAATATTGTGCACTGAAGAGCCCACGACAATCGCATCAACATCTTCCGCATTGGCGTCATTAACACATCCCTGGACCTTCGACAGCGCATCATTCGACAGATCTATCTCGCATAGGATGGAAGTGATCTTGTACATCTGGCCCTGCTGCATGATGAAGCTTCTCTCGTTGGTGTTGTTGATGAAGGGGACAAAGAAGTCATGAAAACCTTCTTTCCAACCGGCATTCCTCTCTGCGGCATTGTGGATCATCATAACCTGGCTGAACCCTGTGAAATCAAAGTTGAAGACACCCGGAGCCGCACACACACTGGTTTTGAAGTTTAGCTATTTAATATAGCGCTAACAGTTTTACGTAATGATTCATGACTCGTGTATACTCGTATGCACAAGTCCAGGGGAAGAGATGTGCCAGTTTAGGGTCAACAGCTCCCAAACTGGAGCCATTGGGGTGTATGTTTATGCTTCAAATGGTGTTTGTATATGTTTGTATGTATCAACTATTGACCGTGAAGCTTTGATGGTGCTCGCATCCGCTGAGAGCACCAGCACGGAGAGAAGCCATCCTCGTGAAGGTGAACAGTGCCACCAAGCCATGAATTGCTGGGAATGGCACAATTTGACTACGAGAGGCCTACCACCAACCACAGGCCACGTGGCACTTCATCGAATCAAACATGTGCACAGTGACTGGTGACATCTGGTGACTGGCCTCCACAAAACAGCGTGGATTACCTTGTGAGATACTAGAATCAATTTCCAGATGGATTTGGATCCTCTACAAAACGTGCCTGCTCAGCTAAAGTCACTTATGACATCTTATGACTCTAGAAGTCCAAGGCACGCAAAGCCAAGGCAGCACGCCTCGCATGCGGGCGCCACGAGCGCGGGCGCCGCTTGTCTTCGACAAACATGGCGCCCTCATGGTGTCATCGCGTCGTCGACGGTCCGGGCCAGGAAATCTGAGCCCGAACGCTGTGGCGGGGCCGAACGAACAAGCTGACATGCATGACCATGGATGTGACAGGAAAAGCATGTTTGGTAAAAGGGAACCGTTCTTAGTGAAAACTATTGAATTGTTGAACACAAAGATTATAGATAGTATATTAATTTGTCGAACATGGGATACATGAGTATAATATGTATAGTAATTGCTTCAGCGTCAGCCCAAGCAAGAGTCAATTCAGCGTCAGGGCAAAACGACCAAACATCATCAAACATCTATACAGTACATGCCATATCAACAATTCTTTATGTCACACAGGCATAAAGAGAACAGCGCAGGCCACCGAGGGTCCCCGGTGTCAGAAAGGAGGGTCCCCCAAAGACCTTTTGGTGATCCGCAGGACGGATGTTCTGGCCCAGGAGACGCTTGTCTTTCAATTTAAGAAAAGACCAAGCGAACCAGCTCCGATGAGTGCCGTCTAACCTGCGGATTTGAATGCTTCATCACTAGGACACACTCCACACTGTCTGTGCGCCTCATGTGATTTAATTTAATGTTGTTGTTTCAGGACACTTGAAAAACTGAGGCCTCCAGATTTCTGTTCATGAGGCCTTCCATTTCTTGCTGTGAGTGCACACTTGATCAATCTGTTCACACATCAATCAGTTATCTCAATCAGTTTCCAGCGTTCAGCCACAAACGAAAGAGTCCAGCATTCAAATCGTCAGGGGGTTCTGATGGGCGCCCACACTCTGCGCGCGCCCGCGTTCAGAGTTCCTGAGAGGCGCAGGGGGGGAAAATGAGTGCAAAGCAAACAAACAACCAAGGAAAATGACAACTTAATTACTGTGGCTGTGCGGGCTGTGGATATCTTTCAATGCTGGAACTTGTTCAAGGTCCACATGATCCACATGTCACAGCCCAATCAGCAAGAACAACTCGCCTTTGGACCGCAACTGATGCAATTGAGGGCCGTCGTGTGCCCAAGGTGAAGCTCACATAACAACAAATAGAGCACCAAGGAACAACAAGCAACCAACCGACCCCAAAAAGGCAAAACAAACAAACAAACAAACCAAAACCAAACAAAACAAACCAATACAAAACAAAACACACAAACAACAGTGCTTTCTGTCAAATATTAATATGTGTTAAGTAAAACATATATCAATTTATTACAAAATATCACTATAACGTTTGCCCAGTGAAACGACTCACAACTCTCAGGTGCCTCCTGCACGACTGTGATGTTCTGAATCTCTTCCAGAGTGAGCTCGTGAGCTTCGCAGCAACCCGGACCAGACATGGTCTCCCGAGAATCCCGCGATGGAGGTTCGCGCGGCTCCTTGGAGTTGCTCCGCCGAGAGTTTTGCCGCATGAGCATCCTGGGATGTTGCTCCGGTGGAATCGGAATCTCATTGGGATCCGCGTGGGATTGTTTGGCTATACGGCTATACCGGCTATACCCTATAGGGCTCCAACCAGATCCTGAGAAAGCGGTTGGTCTGGTTTGGAGGCTCTAACTACCTTCTGAGGATGTGGTTGGAGCCCTAGGAATATAATCAGAGTCTTGTGTGGTGCTAGAAATTGTCACCTCCCTTGGATCGTTGTCAAGGTTCCGTTCCCAAACGCAAATCAAATCCTCTGCCAACTTCCGAACCATATATCATATATGTGCGTCTCGAAGACTCTCCATCAAGACCAGACTTGTTGGAAAGTGGACCATCGCACAACCCAATGATGAGACCTTTTGAAAGGTTCCTAGTAGCTTCTAGGTAGAGGAAGTTACTAGCGGCTCCTGGCATCGCTACTACTAGTAGGAGCGATCAGATGCTACGAACGGGGCTCCTGGCCGTACTACTAGGAACAAAGCGCATCGCTACGTTCGGTTCCCTAAGGCCGTTCGTACTAGCTTGTTACTAATAGCTTCCTTGTTACTACTAGTAAGGCACTTGTTCCTACTAGCGTGGCACTTGTTCCTAGTAGCTTATTAGTTCCCTACGTTACCTACGTTCAGAGTCTCCCAAAAAGGTGGCCCTTCAGATTCTCCGTTCACGCTTTCACGACAGTCTGAAAACGCATGAGTCATGAGTCCGACCGGAAAACTGCAGGAGTACGGTACATGGCATGAATATGCATGGATCCGAAGATCCGAACTCGGGTTGGCTGAGGTTGGCTGTTAGAAACGTTGGGGCTTTGGGGGGACACAACAAGGTCATGATTTCCCTCTGTCTCCCTCTTTCCTTTCACCACCAAAGTTCAACCCAAATCGAAACGTGGGACCGTTTCCTTCCACACAATGCCCTCAATCCGCGGTGTCAGACCGGCCAATGCTGCCAAGCATCTGGATGCTGGATTGAGAGGAATTGCTGCGCTCAGGGACAGCAGAGTTCAACCTGGGTTTCTTCAGAACCTCCAAACATCCAAAGCACTTTTCATTCCTTTTCATGCTCATCTCGCACGCAGGGCTTGATTCAGTGAGAAAATCATATCTTTTTCTTTACGACAGCAAAATCACACCCACACACACACACAACATACCACACGCACATACGGAGAAAGGATGAGAAAGGATGAGAAAGCGATGCTGAGGAGTTGTTCGGAACGTGTTGTGGGTAGGGTGGGAGCCACTTTACTGAAAACACTGGTAAGGTGGTGCTAAAGCTGCATCTGAGCCCCACCTGTCCCCTCCAATACGTGATCTCGATATTATGCTTGGTCAATGGGTTTTGCTCATTGCCGCCCTTCTGGCTCTTCAAGCCCCAGGTCTTTCGTGCTAAACAGGGTGCTAAACCCAGGTCTTTAGTCTGGTGGTAACGCCCATGTCTGCTCCCGGCCTCCATGGCCGACACCGCGACCATACGGCGCAATACGGCACCAAACACACGAGAGGGGATACAACCAAACATGGCATGAAGCTTCAGCTGGGGGCCCTGTCTGTCTGTCTGTCGGATGTTCAACTGGTGCAATGGCTTTGTTGCATTTTGCTCGTTTGCCAAACAGCTGTCTTCTGCACGTTTGCCCAAATGTTTCAGTATTCAAAGCACAACGTGGGTCCAAACCAAGATCCGCGTGGTTTTGTCACCACTGTTACACGTCGTCTGCACTGTGAAATGAGGCCTAGAGCTCCATGTTCTTGTTCAGAACTCTTTTCATTTAGACTCAAAATCCATTCATTTAGACATATTTAGACGTTCGAGGTCAATCGACTCATTCGGATCTTGGAGGTTGTTCATATGTAGGTCTTTGGAGACTAAAAACATCTCACAGACCTTAGATAGGCGGCCTAGGCGTGTTATTTAAGGCAGGAGAAGAAATGAGAAGAAGCGTGCATGTTTGAAAGAGGGAGGGCTCCAAACGACTTTTAAAGTAATGGACGACTCGTCTCGGAGAATCTGTTGCTTTGGAGGGAGACCCCTTTGCCTGTCAGGACATCACCAAATTGGGAACCGTGGACATCTCCTTTCATTTTCTACAGTCCTCCAACAGAAATGTCTGACTTCCACTCAAGAAAAACATCCACTGGATAAACAATTTGCAGGGTGATGATCGGTGGACCGGGGGGATTGTCGATATAAATATTGAACATATTCTCCAAAGCACATGGGTTTGGACCAAATCCTACGGTCCTACACGAGATCAGTTTGGTGAGTTTGGGGCCCAGACTTCAAGCGCCATAACTCAATCAAAGTGCATGAACCTAGTCTTTGTTCAAATTGGTTTAAAAACAACGACAACATGTTAAGCTGATACAGCTGCCAGTGGCCATGAATCACCCACTGAATCTCTGGAAGGACCTGGAACCGTCCGGAGCCCAAGGCACATGGGCTCTAAACGTCCCTGGATCAGCGAGATCTCAGTGGCTTGGATATGCTCACTGCCATGCGGAGTGAACTTCAAGGCTAAGACATTGAAGAGTTGGGAATAAACCACACGGACCTCCTCCTCGGCGCAGCTCGCGGCACGGGTGCACCGCTGGGAACTCGGTGTCATTCACCGGCATAAATGGAACATTGTTCATCACACATCCTCTACAAGTGACTAAATGATTCTGCTCCATACCCTCTACATTGACATGATCCCATGGAGGTTACAGGCTCTAATCCAGGACCAAACATGCTTGGCTATATAATACTGCATATGAATTCGATATATATATATATATTGCACTCACTCCCCCTTTTTGGCCAGCTCACCTGAAGGTTTTCGTGTTTAGTGCTTCACTAAACACCCTTTCTCATGCCACGCCTATATAGGCATTATGGCAAGCCTCTGTAGGGCTATCCACAAATGGATTTATGGCTCTGTAGGCCAATTGCCTCTGTGGGCACGGCTATATGGCAAGCTGTTTTCCTAGCCTCTGTAGGGCTTTCATTTCTGAAATGGTACTAATAGGCACGAGACAAGGCTCAGCCTGTCAGCCTTCCACGTCCCCGGTACTGGACCTCTAGAGGGCCATCATAGGACGATAGTAGCGGAGCAGGGCACGGGTGTGGGGGGTTAAAGAAAGTTTCGTGAGCATAGATAAGCCTTCTTGAATATATTGCCTTGCAGCGCCAGAGGAACCCCACCTTCCCTTCAGGAGGGAGCGTTCCATTAGGCCGTGCAACCGAAAATCTTCGGTAGCACCACCTCGCCTCAAAGAATACGGCCTGAAAGTGGGTTTCAACCTAAAAAACTTGAGAAGTTGCCGAAATTGACTGCGAAATTCAGCTTTTGAAAGTGGCCAAACCAATTCATGTCGGGAGGAAGAGAGCTCTTGGACTGTCTGGGCAATGAGGATAGAGGGCGCATGTCGGACAATGACGTTCTCATCGATCTGTCTCCTAAGTCCTGTTTTTGTCTCTCCAAGGCGAACCACCATAGTATGTCCCTGAATTAACAAATGGTTTAGACGGACTTCGAAGATTTCTCCTGTCCGGAGAAGACCCCAAAAACCCAGGCAAAGGCAAAGAGCCAGCCTCAGGTTTTCCACTGCAATGCACCGTCCGACAAGTCCTTCCACAACTTGTATTGGGAAGGGCGGCGCCTGTTTTGGCTTCTCAACTTTACGCCACAGTCCATACAATTTCCAGGCTCCCCTGATCTTCCCTCTACTCCAAGGAAGGAAATGGTGCAACCCCGACAAAGTGTCTGCAACGCTGGTGATGCTGCTACCTGCCTGATATTCATCATCAATCCAATCTACCAAAAACTCATCAAGGTCACGGGTGGTTTTTTCCAGAAGAGGGAGCACTGCCGCTACCGCAATAAAATATCTAATCCTGGTTTTCACAGTGATGGCTCTATCATGGAGTGACAGCCCTTTACGCTTACGCCTACGCAGGCGGCGCAATGTTTCAGGATCTGCTCGCTTCATCAGTAGGGTTGTCAGCACTGTCAACGTGTGCCAGATTCAGCAGCCCATGTCCGGCCAACAGCAAAGCGGCGATCTTCCTACAAATGAATTTGAGCTTATGGCTTCCTGTCCTGCCTTTGCTAAGAATAGAAATAGCCACGTAACTATCACTCAAATGAAATAGACGCTGATTCGCGAACTTCCTCTGCATGGTCTTCCAAAGAAGGGACAAGTATATGGCCCTGATTTCCAAAGCATTTATGTGTTCTGCTTCATTCCACCGGACCTTGAACACTGGCTGCCAAGCCCACCAAACACTGTCCACACTCTGTCGCGGGAACGTTTTGGGGTTGAGCACCTGACCTGTAGAAACACGTATGTCAGACCCTGTGTGTCGTGTTTTGCTTCCCAAGATCCTATTCAACTCAGTAACTCCTGCATGGGTCCATGTCCCTGGAAAGGCTAGACCTCTCTGCAACGGACAGGCCAGCGGGAGCCTCAGAGAGCTCCCTGGAGGGAGCCCCATCCGGGAGAAAAGGACCTGAGGGTTAAACAAATTTGTATACTTGTAAACACTTGCCGCTGCAAAAAGTACAAACGACCAAATGGAGAAGCTATCGCCCACTAAACTGCATCTCTCATCTTCGTACTTTTGCTTGTTGTTCTTTGCCTCCGAAGCTGACATTGCCATGCACGTGTGGCCAAAGCCGTAACCCATCAAGATTTCACGCTCTGAGGCATCCAGCAACCGGGTCTTGTCCATGGCAGGGCTGTATACCAAGTATTCGGAGCGATACTGGTACGGGGGGTACCTAAAGCCATGATCCTCCCACCTGGCTCGTGTCCAGGTGTCTGCCCTGGACAACCCAGCGGGCCTGGGAGGCGGCCTGGCTCTTTGAATTGCTTTCATAAATGTCGGATATACGGCTGACTTGTCAACTTGTTCCCATTCAGGTCTGAGCCATTGGTCTGCGCTTGGCCATCTGCCTTCCACCTGCACCTCAACATAGCCAGGCCTTCGCACAAGGGTGAGTCCTGGGCATGGAGGGAATCGAATCGATGTCCAACAGAAACGAGGCCTCGAGTTTGGTACCTGACAACTTGGGCAAACTTTGAACGGGATAACTCCTAGCAACGAGCTCAGCTGATCTCTCACTTCAACATCCATGCTTGCCACATTTTCCACAAAGAATTCCGTCGGAGTGTCAGGGAACAGCACGGCTAGCTCATCAAACACACGAATTGCCTCGTGTATCAAGCTGCTGGAAGCGCCCTGAAGGTTCTGGCGGTGAGCCCGCACACTGCTCACGTCAACGCAGGGAAACCCTGCCCACAGATGAAGTTCACCAAAATCACCAAAATGTTCCATCTCTTCTCTGAGACCTTCACCCGTCAGGGTACGCACATCTTCCCAGAATCTGGTATGGGGCCAGCGCCTTGCTGTCACGCGATTTGCTGGCTTGTGAATATCACAGGCTAGCACTCCTGCCACTCGCACACCTGCCACGTCATAACAGCGCTGAGCTCCTCCTATCCCATTGAACAGCGAAACAATCACCACGGGAACCTCTTGCGCCTGCCGCTCCCGCGCCCAGACAAAGCCTTTTCCTTCCTGGGTGAGACTATCACTGAAGGCGACCGCTCCTCCCTTCATGCTGGCATCACTGCAGGTCACCATCGGGTCGATCTTGCTGCCCAACCAAGTGTGAAACAGCGGGCTGCCACAAATACCTGTCAGCATTTCCTTCCTAACCTTATCCTGTGCCAGGCGGCCAAAGCCCTTTCCTGACACCCATTCCCAAACATGCGAGAAATGAGCCATGCCCGGCCGCCTAAACTGCAGAATGAAGCACAGCCTCCTCATGACAATTTGCACTTTCTTCTTGCTCAACTTAGGTTGTCCGCACAGCCAAATAACGCTCTTGAGGACCTTGATGAGACGCTCAGGTGAGGCTCCTATCCACTGTCCTTTTCCCCCGAGAAAGGCCCCCAACTCAACACCTGAGGAAGCCGCTACTACTGACTTATCTTCGGACACCACAACACCAGCGTCCACCCACAGACTTTCTGCCGCTTTCTGCAGTGCAATCAACTCGCTGGGCTCCTCATCTCGCACCTTTGCGCCTGCAGCAAAATTATCGAGATACACATGCCACCAAGGCCGCCCCTGCTTGTTTCCCAATTCTGAGCTCTCCAACACCCACGGCGGCAGAGGATGAGACTTGGAGATCTGAGCACAGGGATCAAAGCCCCCCTTTAGGAGAATCGTTTCAGCCAGGTCTTGCATGACCCCAACGGCCGAGCACCATCCCATGGGGAGCACCCTACAGGCCAGGTACACTAAAGAGGACCGATGGCCATCTACCTCCAGACCCAATTCCTCACGCCTGAAACACAGGTTGAAACACAACATCCTGCACCAGCAAGGGGGCAACGCAAACAGGTAGAACGCGCATTGCATGTCACTCTGTGCAATCCGAAGAGTTTCCCCTTCGTCAACAACCACATTCAACCACTGAGTTATACTTGGGAGCTTATCCACCTTTCCTTGAATCGTCTTCAACACGGCGTTTGCAGGCACCAAATTCATAATAAGACGCAAAACAGTTTCACCAGAGGGAAGCCTTTTAGGCTTGGGAACGCCAAACAGTCCACTCAGGACTTTTTCGCCTCTGAACCTGAACACCTGTTCCTCATCCACCCAGGTGCAAATACCTCGCCTGACAAGTTCAACAGCAATGCTCTTTTGCTCACCTTCGCCAATATGCACCTTTCCTTGTAGCTTCGGCAACTCCTGCCCCACATCAGTCACTAAGCACAGGTCAGGTCGCAGAAGTAGAGATCTAGTGCGTCCGCTAACCCACTTCAAAGTGTCCACCGAACCCCCATGACCTTCAGGGGGCAACCCTGGGAGCACCCTAGCTAAAGTCAGCGGTTCGGCCTTGCAAATTTCTTCACCCGAATACGTCACTGTCCTATGTTCAAAATCATCCACAATGTCAGCCACTGTCCATGCCACTGTCGTGTCATCGTCCATCAAACGTTGGACCGACATCTCAACAGCTCGCAACAAATCCCTCTGCGGGGCTGTAGGTTTTCCTTGCCCAAACACAAACCCTTCATTCGCCAATTGATTGCAAAACAGGACTCCTAAGGAGGCCCAGCACGCAACAGCATTGGCTTTGACAAATTCCAAATCATGCAAAACTGACGAAACCGACACTTTCTTTCCGAACCGAGAAAAGTCCACGAACCAAACTTGAGGGAGGGGAAACAGTTTGTTTTTGGAGCGAAAAGCTCGTGGTAGCTGGCTCTTCTTTTTCTGCGCCATGTCGGCGGAGAGTTGGTCAAGGAAACTTCCATCAAAGGCTTCCCCTCGCTCACAAATGGAGAAATATAGTCCCACTCCCAGCGCGGAATAGGTTCCAGCCAGGTCCAGCAGGACTTGCCACCACTTCAAACCGGGCGGCTCCACAGCTCCTCTCTTCACTTCTCGGCTTCGCCCTCTTTTTCTTTCTCTCCTTTTCCCTTGTTCTTGTCCTTCTTCCACCACCCCTGGTCCTGGTTCTTTCGCCATCCTCCACGGCCTGACCAGGGGTCTGCCTTCTCCTTCTCCTTTCCTTTCTTTCCATCTTTTCCTCCTTTTCTCTTTTTCCACCAGGGCTCGGTGTCCTGCCAGCCCCCATCTCCTTTGCCGCCCTTGTCTTTTCTCACGCGCCCCCTTGCCTCGTCTGGTTGAGTGACGCGCTCCATCGTCTTGGAGAACTTCCGGGCTGCCAGTGTGATGGCTGGCCCTGCTGCTGACGTCTGGTCCGGGGAATAAAGCTCCAAATGCCTGGCAGCCGACCATTGCTGATCGAGGCTCGCCTGTTCGATCGCCAGCCACCGAGCCGCCAAAGCGTCTCCCAGTTTGGCCAGGCGACCCACGCGAAGCAGGTCGATGACGTTCGCCAGCAAGTAGGTCTCTCGCCCGTCCCGGGATTGTTGAGAGAACGCCCCTGATTGGATCAGGGTGTGCCAGATGTCACAACCTTCGTTCCTGTCAGGACAGGGTCCGAGCTTTCCCCTGCACCGCTGAGCTCGTTGAGACGAGCCTCTATCCTCTCGATGAGAAGACTCAGCGCGGAGCCCTCCATCCTCTCGCTGCGTTTCTTCAGGGGCGGAAGGAGGTCCTCTTTGTCTGTCTCGCTGCTGTCGACGTCCTCGCCACTGGAGTAGCTGTCCCCCTCGTCTGACGAGGGACTTGATCCACTTGGGTCGCCTCCTTCTCTCTTTCGCTTCTTCTTTTTCTTTTTCTTTTTCTTTCCTCCCCCAAATATCGTCTGCAGTGCCTCTCCACTGCCTTTTGCTTCTTCTTCTTCTTTTTCTTTCCATCCTTCGACTTGGAGGTCCTGGCTGCTTGTAGCGCCAGAGAGGAGGCCACATTCGACTTCTTGCTCGTCATCCTCAAGGGCTTCAAAATATCTTCTCTTTGCTCCTCCCCATGGCCTTCTCCACTGGTCAGGGCAGCACGGCGAGGGCCAGCTGCCCCCTTCGGGGGTCCCAACTTCGTAGATGTGCCCAATCCTCCCTGAACAGGGTCGACATCTCCATCCCCCTCTACACCCAAGTGGTCTCCACCTGTCAGAGCTCCTTGTCCAAGTCCCAAGCTTTGTTGACGCTTCCTGACCTGGTCCAACCTGGCCCTGAGCGTCCCGGCAGCCGTGCCAGCGGGACCAGGTTGCTTCGCTTTTGCCGACTTCCTGATGTCCTTTGGGGCGGTCTCGACGATCTCCCTGACCTTTTCCTCGCAGTTGAGCCTCTTTGGGTTCCCCGCTCGGCTTCTTCCTCAAAGCAGAGGGTCTGCCAGCGGCACCTTCCAAGGGCTCTCTCACCTCGTCCAGCTCCTCTCCAGCCTCGAATTGTTTCACCATGCGCTTCCCTGCGGGTGACAGGCGGTGCGTCGGAAATGTGAGTCCATCCCACAGCTCCAACCGTTGAACATGGAAAACACCGCCCTCTTCTCCGCAAAAACCTGCACTTGCGCACACGTGAAGGTGTCCCTCCTTCCGGTTGAAAAAGGAAGCTTCTGGATGTGAGCTTCCTACCGACTTTACCCTGACCAGGGCACTTCCATCGGCGCCCAGTTCTATACCTGTGACCAGGAAGATGCCTTCCACCCCATCGGCTCCCAACAGCTCGCCCGGAACTGCCGTAGTTATAATATCTCCCAACTTTATCTCCAAGGCGGACCATCTGGCAGGCTCGTTCACATCGAACAGCCCATAGGCGCCTCCAGCACCTACCAGTTCCACCTCTGCCTCGCCTTCCGTCATTTCTTAGGCTGAGGGGGGGTGCCGGCAATCGCCGACGACCTATAGGTGCGTGTGGATCAAAGTCAAAGTGACTCTCGTCCAGCTTCCGGTGAATCTTGAGGTAAGGGTCACGCTCGGCCCTGTAGAGACGCTTGTGTTTGCGCCCCGCTCTGTGTTTTGGATTCCTGTGTTTGCGCTTCCTGTTGGACTTGTCGTCCTTCCGCTCCGGCCTTGATGGCTGACTGGATCGATGTCGATGTCGACGACGGTGTCTGGAACCTTCAGGCACGGTGCTGCCACCAGCCTGTTCTTCTTCTCCGTAATCTGCCTTCTCCTCAGTCTTGATCCTCTCCGCCACTCCTTTGGGGGGAACTGGAGGTTTCGCCTTTCCTGAAGTACCTGGGGCCGCAGTCGCAGGTGGCAACAAGGGGTCGACCAAGATGGTCTTGTCCGAGGCCGCCTCCGATTCCTCCTCTTCCTCGTCGGACTCAGACGAGTCCTGCTCCTTCTCCTCGTCCTTCTCGAGAGGCTGCGGGGCGGCTCCCTTCTTCTCCTCAACAGGCTTCGGTGACCTCCTCAAAGGATCGCTCCCGATGCGGCACGGGGTTTCCCCCAGCCGGAGCAGCCACCGGAGGGACACGCGCGGGGAAGCGACCCCCAGCGGTCCCCCCAGTGTGGGCGTGCGGTGCAGCCGCAGTCACACGAGTGACCCGCAAGGCCCGGACCTGGCGCACGGCCGAGACCACCAGGTCTGTAGCCACCGCCCGCAGGCCTGGGTGGCTCCAAGAGAACGAGAGCTCGTTCCCAATGGCCTCCCAGGCACTGCAGGCGAGGCACCAGGTGTCACCGGAGGACGGTGACACGCGGCGGCACCGAGCGCACACGGCCATAGACCGTGAACGATCCTTTTTGAGCCCGTGGCCAGTCGGTGTTCGTGCAACACATCTCATGTTCCAAAGATGTCATATATATCATTGTAATATTGTGCCATAATACAAGAAAGTGTGCTGAGCCATTCCATTCCAACACAAGGCTTGGTGTTTTTTTGCCCCCTCTTGCCGCTTATCCTCCTTCACCTACCTCTGAAAGCAGCCCCCCGCGCCCTCCGGACCTTCAAGTCATTGAGTGGAAGGCTTTGGATTCCGTTCTTTTCTCTTTGTTAATGTTCCATAATTTGTCATAATTAAACTTTAGATTAGTCTATGTAGTCTATATGTTCCTGATCTTTGGTTTGTCTTTCACTGACGGACAGGATGCCCGAGTGTTTTACAGTGAAAAATTGTGAACATCGATGGTGGACAAAGAAGTCTCAGCCTGACAATAAGACCAACTTGGGTGTCGGGAAGAGACATCCATCGGCCCTCAGGAGTCACATCGGCACCATGCCCATGTCGTTCCAATGACGATCAATGTGTCACGTCTGAGTCACATGTGAGTTACATGTGGTCTTACACCGGAAGGTATCCGTGGTCCGTATATCGTATGTCTCGTTCCATGCCCGGTTTTACACCGCGGACATATGGACTCCTCCGGCAGGTGTGAAACGGGATCTTGAAAGCCTTCTTCAAAGGACCAAAAGGACAGGATTCGACTCTTTGGGAGGCGGGAGGCTTGCTCACTGACAGTTATCTGGCCCGGGGCCCCTGAAGAGGGGGAGAAAGTCTAACTATTTCGTACGATTTCTGAAAACCCCGTGCCAAAGGGACCAGGACTTTACTTTCCTGCTTCCATGCCAACCCAGCGACAAAGTCGGTGCCCAGCATAGACAACGCCTCTTCGGTGAAAATCTTACCATCCTCAGGAGAACAGCTAGATGACTCAATGGGAGCTCTCTTCTGACATCTTGTCCAAGCTTCTTGAGGGAATTTTGAGGGATACTGGCTTGGTGGAAGCCTTAAAGAGACTGGGCAAAGATTGCCAAAGCAAACATGATAAGTATTGGATAAGTTTGCCAAAGCTCTTGGGCCAACTTGTGGAACATCCGCTCAAACTGTGACTCCTATAACTGCTATGTGTGTATGTGTGTGTTGTGTTCACCGTTGGTGGGAGTCGTCAGAGTGAGGAAACCAGCAAGGCTGGCAAGAGAGCTTGCCTTTGGAACATGGTATGCTGCAGGTCAAACCCCAGTGGGTGACTCTAAAGCTTATGATCAAACCTGAATGATAGGCATACCAATCCTAGAGCGCTCAGAAAATTGCGAATAATACAAAGGTCACAAGGCCTTTGCATCAACCACCAATTCTCCGGCGCGGTGACCTTCCCCTACGGATTTAAAGGGACCAAGAAGCCTGCAGGTTGAAGTGAAGATGTGGATCAAAACATGGAACCCTCTCTCTTTGGAGTAACAAGTAGGCGACACCGACAGACTGCACGCCATGGTTATTAGGCACTACACCGGGGACCAGGGAGGGAGATGGACCATCATATGCATCACTTGTTGGGGCTCAAGACCTACCCCTCGTGAAATGATCGTTTATGAACATCCCTTGGTAGACTATTCTGTTCAGTTCTGGGGTGTGGCATCATGTTGAGAAAAACCACTTTTCGACCAGCCCTTCGTGGTCCCTTCGCGACCTTCTGCGCCCCTTTTCCGTCAGGTGCGCCGTTTTTCGCCCAGGGTCCGCCAAGGTTTCCCAGAAGCTCGGATCTGGATAGACAAAGAATTCATCTGCTCGGATGGGAACCCAGGCCTTTCGGTTCTCTTCGGGGCACATCACCAAAGACGCTGCAAACTGCAAGTGATGGAGGACACCTCAGCAGAGCTCAGATGTGTGTGTGTGTGTGTTAACACCTGTTTCCAAGGTTTGTACCTGGCAAGTCTGCGGTAGATTCCACTAGAAGGCTGGGTGCTACTAGTAGCTTCTGGCCTTACTACTAGGAACCAAACTAAAACACAAACAGCGCGAGTCAAAAAAGAGGCAGGGGGGCAACGACCGGTCTTCCTACGTTGCCCAACGAAGCTACGGAAGACTGGTGGGTGCATTCAGGGACGCCTGAATGTGTACCTGCTCAATGTTTAATCAGGTCTAGTTGCCTATTGCCGTGCAGTTCCAAAACAGTGTTCAAACACCTTCAACTCTGCTGACTCATCGCCTTTCTGTTTGCACTCCTTTTCAGTCAAGGTCTAATGCATCTAAAGTGGGACTTCATACTGATCCTAGCTCTTGCGAGCAACCATCTAAGTGTGTATCGCCACACAGTCCCACTGAGGGCTGTGGTGTGATCCCCGTCGAGGGGCGCCGCATGTGCATAGACCCAGATCCTGGGGGATTGCTTCCACCTTGGCATTTCGTTCGATTCCTTCTGATTTGCTGTCATTGCTCGATACCACGGATACTATGCCGCAGGGCTCACTGAGACTCAAACTTTGATCCGGATTTGCATCGTCATGCGAGCATGTGTCTAAGTATTCACCTGTACAGTCTGCACGTCTAAGTAGTCACAGGCGGGGCTCAGCACTGAGACATAGCACTGCATGCAACATTCGCATGCACCTTTCGGCTTGCTTTCCAAAGTAATCTTTTGCGCAGTCTACATGTCTAAGTACTCACAGGCGGCACTTGTGAGTTTTTCCGGTGCATGTTCTTGTCATGTTCTTGGGTTCTGTCTCTCTTGCTGTTGCTTTTCGTGAAAAGAGGCCTTTCTTTAGGTTTCTTTAGGTTTCAGATGCTTGGCAGAAATGGGTCCGCCGTCCCCATAATCGGCTTGAAATGCCAATGATGACGGCCTTTGGGCCACCCCTCCCTGCCCCAGGCCTCCGCTGCTATCCCACCCGCTATCTAGGGTTATAGAAGGAAGTCGCACTCAACACACTTGTGTGTTGGTGCCTTTCCTTCTATTTCTCCTGTCCTACCTCTAGCTACCCGGGCGGTATAAGACCAAAGTCCCGCTCGCTAACTTCTGCACGTATTGTAACTAGTGGGCCTCGTAACTACACCTAACTTTCTTTCTTGCCCTCTTAGTCTGCTTTTGTTTTGTTTTCTTTGTCTGTCTTTCTAAGGCTTTTTAGGTGGCTAGTACTTTTCCACAGCGCCAATATTGGCGCTATGTGTACAAAGCTGTTGCACCAAAATCGTTTCACGTAAGGGATACAGAGCGCCGATTGCGGCACAGTGTGTGTGTTAACACCTGTTTCCAAGGTTTGTACCTGGTAAGTCTGCCGTAGATTCGACTAGAAGGCTGGGTGCTACTAGTAGCTTCTGGCCTTACTACTAGGAGCCAAACTAAAACTAAAACAGCGCGAATCAAAAAAAGAGGCAGGGGGGCAACGACCGGTCTTCCTACGTTGCCCAACGAAGCTACGGAAGACTGGTGGATGCATTCAGGGACGCCTGAGTGTGTACCTGCTCAATTTTTAATCAGGTCTAGTTGCCTATTGCCGTGCAGTTCCAAAACAGTGTTCAAACCTTCAACTCTGCTGACTCATCGCCTTTCTGTTTGCTCCTTTTCAGTCAAGGTCTAATGCATCTAAAGTGGGACTTCATACTGATCCTACGTAGCTCTTGCGAGCACCATCTAAGTGTGTGTGTGTGTGAAGGGTGACACCGGTGACACAACTTCAAAAGTGCTACATTGAGAGAATATACTTGAGACCTTTTCATCGATAGAGTCAAACCCAGGGACAAAATTCCAAACCCTCAATACCGTGTGGCCAGCTTTGACGATTGAACCCCTGCCAATTGGCGATGTGATCATGTTCACCTGTAGGCGAGGTCCAAGTCAATAAGAAACATGTCATGTAAAGCATCTTCCTATGGGGGGGTGAAATACAATTTAAGAGTCTAAGAGAGTACATATTTGCTCAACGCCGCGGTCAATGAACCTCTGTGGGCCAACACTCGGGTGGACTCGTCTCTTCAAACCCACGAACCGCTCGCGAAATCGCCGACCCGGTCGGAGAAAATGGATCGAAATGGCATGTACGTGGCTCCTGCCGCAAGACCTGTTATTGTTTTTGTGTGTTCCACATCAACAACCGCACCAAGAAATTGCACAACTGGCATTCGACGCGAAGGCAGCAAAGAGACCTTGTGTCAACAGCACGAGGATCGCCTGCACTCCTGCAGCTCCGCTGGGTCAAGGAGCAGCTTGCAGAGTGTGTTTGTTCATGGGATAAACAACGAAACGAAACACTTCGATCAAACCGATAGACCGAAGCTGGACTCGGGATGTCGCAGTCAACCGCCAATTGGGAACATCACCGTGAGAAAAAACAGTTTGCCTCGTTGCAAGTTGTTGGGTTTCCAGATTCATTCATCGGGTGTCACCTTACCTTATAACCAACTCCGAAACCCAGCAAAAGCTGGATGTGATGCCATTAACGAAAATTTTTGGTGCGGGATGGTGCGGGTGTTGAAGGTTCATCTGATTCGGTGCAAACCTTCATCGTTTCCATCGTTTCAGCAGGATGCAGACCGGGTCGTTTGACCAGGCATACCGCGTCATGGTAAGCCATCGCACCCGAGTCGTCTGAGACCATGTTTAGCCTCGGTAGAAATGCAAAACGCCTGTTGGGTCTTCGGGCCCAGCCACCTGTGAACGGATGGCAACAAAAACCCGGGGGAATGCTTTTGGAACATGGTAGAACTAAAGCCAGCGCAAAACTTAAATTGCTTAAAGGCGGGTCATGATTCTTCACCTGGGTCAAGTTGTCCCCAAAGATCAACAAGCAGTGCTTCGCTGCTTCACAAAGCAAGGTCGCATTCTGTCAAATTCGGTCGAATCAAAGACTCCAATTGACTCGCAGAGAGCCGTTAATGACGCTGAACTTCGTGGGGCTCCCTGAAAACCTCCGTCACTCCGATTGAAAAACAGGACTGTACTTCCCCCAGTGTCCCAGCTCCCAACATGACATTTTGCACGTGCCCCTATAGGACCCAAGAATGGCCGCAAATCTCCTACCAAAAGATCTCTGAAGTAGTTCAGATCTGAAAGCGCTTCTACCGGATCCAGCAGAATGATGTCCTGCGGGCGCTTGGGTCAGAGCAGCCAATTCACAGGGTCCAAGGGTTTGGCTTTCATGGATTGGTCTATATTGGTCCTTGCGAAGCGAGCCTGACACATTGGTCTTGTGCAACGTCCCACCACCCCTGATGAAACTGTTTATCCTTCTACCACAGCCATTTAAAACTCCGTGGCTTTGATCTAGAAAAGGAGGCATTAAGAAACAAGCCAACTTCATGAGTCAATGAGCAAAGCATTACACATTTAGACTTCAGTCGTCGCCGCCGGACTTTTTCGCGGTTGCAGTTTCTCGAAAGCTCTTGGCTATGTCGTGGCTCTGCTGCTGTCGCCGCCTGGAAAGGGCAACTCAAGGCTAAAGAAGGCACACTTGTCAAGACACTTCGATTTTTCACCCCTTTGGGGTGGGTGGGTTCAGGGACTCTTGAGCCCCAAACGCCACACGTTTGAAGTGGCCACGTCATTCAAAAGACAGCTATCACTTCCTCAGTCTTCAAGTGACTCACACAGCCAGACTTCAGTCGTTGCCGCCGGACTTTTTCGCGGTTGCAGTTTCTCGAAAGCTCTTGGCTATGTCGTGGCTCTGCTGCTGTTGCCACCTGGAAAGGGCAACTCAAGGCTAAAGAAGGCACACTTGTCAAGACACTTCGATTTCACCCCAAACCAGTTCCCGAAAGCAGAATTGTTAGCCAGGAATGTTAATAGTGTATTTGATTGTAATGCCATTGTGCTGTGAGAGCATGAGCCAAAGCGTCACATAGTCTTTTTGGATAAGGCTGAGCTATAGCAGTCCAGTTGCGACCACCCGGGCCCGTGCCAGTCAATTGAAAATGAGCTCGATGGGTTTGATCACACAAGCCACGGCCCGAGCAGCGCTTTTCAATTCTGCGCAAGTCATCTGGGGGAATATTGCCAGCTAAGAACTTTGTGCGCTTATGCCATGGTGTACCAAACTGGCAAAAATCAGCAACGATGGACTTCACATGCGGTTGCAACACCAACTGTTTGAAAAAGGGGAGATACCAGCATTTCGAGGAGGCAGGGTTCTCCAAAATCCAAGGCACATGGTGAGCATCAAGAATGCGAATAAGTGCGAAACAAGAAGAAAAACAAGCATTGCCCGATTGTATTTTGCGTTGTTCGACTTCTGTCAACAGCTTTGCAGAAACACCCCAAGGTTCTAGTCCAGTGCGAATGACTTTGGTCCTGTCCCTGGCGACTGAAAACGAATCACAAGGAGGAGCCATCATGACAGCAATCGCTTTGCCAGTCTGGACAGGTTCACTTGTCAAATCACACCTATGTCCAAAACGGATGTCCCATTGCCGCGCACTAAATCCCAATCTCTCACATGCGGCTGCAACACCACCTTCTCCAGAAAAAAGATAAGCTATGTAGCAGCTTTTCTCATTCCGCCTAGGGAAGCGGACGGAGGCAATCGCTTGCGGCCGAGCATGAAGGCCGCGAAGTCCTTTTCGCATGCTGGGCAGTAGTGCTGACTTGCCGATGGAACTGTCTCCCAACTGCGGGCCAAGCGAGCTGCCTTCTCGTATCGTTGGACCGACTTGACACATTTCCAATTTCCCCGTCTCTGGACCTCCAAGGCACTCCTCAGGCTCTTCACACGGTCGATCGAAGGAGCGCTGTGCCTGGAGTGGTAGGGGCTGAGGTTCAATCCCAGCTGGTCGGCACACTTGCGGAAGACCGTCAGGTACTGACTGTAGCTGAAGTCCCAGAGTGCATCGGTCGATCTGGCCTCTTTCATCACCTTGAAGAGTTGAGGGCTCCAGGAGGTCATATAGGGCGAGTCTAACAGGATGCTGACATCGTATTCGTTGGTCTTTGAAGGCTGTCCCAGCTCCTCTGGATTCAACAACACGCTCCAAGCGGCTGTCACCCCAGGGGCTGGCTGGACTAAGCTGAAGGTCTTCATTCGACTAATCTCCGAGGGCCGCGCATACGTAGAGAGGGACAGCATGGCAAAGATGCTCATCATAGGGTGCCCCATCTCCTTCATCAGCGCTGCCATCCCGCACCACACCGCCAAAGGGTATGGTGTACGGGACCTTCCAGGGCACAGTCTCCTCCAGCCTTTCAAAGCCCTCAATGCTCTTGGTATCCTCTTCGCGCCAACCTTGCTGAACATCACACGGTGGTGCATCCAGCTGGCTATCAGCCTGTCCCCTTTGTAAGCTTGGTGCCCACTCAGGAACTGGAGGTTCATGAATTCCACCAAGAGTGCATCTACCTTTTCGGCATGGTCTAGGTTCAAGCCGCGCGGTCTGGCGAAGGTCATGAACTCTTCGTACTCTTTCATGTACATCTTTTCGGTGGCAAGTCCCACGGCCCGACGTTCCAACAAGCTCAGGTTGTCGGGACCTTGGCCTGCCATCAGCAGGTCTACATATTTCTTTCTTCTGTACTTCCCACGACTGTGGAGAGTCTTTTGGGTCTTTCCCCTGAGGTCGACATCGCTGCTGCTGTCTGAGCTGCTTGACGCCGGGTGTGGAGCCTTGTTGACTAGCGGGGCATCGTTCACATTCACTTCCTCCAGCTTTTGGTTCTCTGGCAAGAGAGCTGAAGTGGCGATTTGATCTCGAAGAGGGGCTGGCTTGAGAACGGATTGGTGGTTCTGAACTTTTTGATTCAAAGCGGGTTTTCCCGCCTTCAACACCTTTTCCACCCGACGTTTTCCTGCCGGCTGAACTGTCTTCGGCGCCGGCAGGCAGCGAGTTCTCCTTGGTGCCATTGTCGAGAAGAGAGGTCAGAAGTTTTGAGGGTTCATCTGTACCATATCGAGAGGGTTCATCCGCATTATTAAGTTCACTTGGGATCCATCTAAAAGCTGGTTGAATGCCTCTGCAAATACAATAGCCACACAAAATCCGAACCTGCTTCAATAATGCATGCTGCCTACTGCGACACCTCTCTAGAGCCAAGACCAGAGACATATTGTCCAGAAGAAAAAAGCTGTCTTATCTGTGATCCAAACATGCTCATAGCTATCCGTTTCAAAGACTTCACAGCAGCTCTCGCTTCCAGAACTATGATGCCTTCGTCTCCATACTGCCAATGACCCCAAAGCTTTGGTGTCCACAAGGCACGTCGCAAGAGCCTGGCAGGAACTTCATCAAAGTTCTCATCAAGCTGCCACCCACTCAAATTCAAATATGTCTGCGCATCTATTTCACCAGACTGCCATTGACCCGTGATGTCATCTCTCACGAAACCTGCAGCTGTAAGTGAAGATTCTCGAGCGGAATGGCCTGAAGCACGTCTGAACCGACTCCGTTCTTTGACTCTACCTACTCTCTCAACATCCTCCAGATCCCAAAAGGCTGCTACAAACAAGCTCATTCCAAGGCTTCCACCAGTCTGACTGCAAGAAAATCATCAGTCCAGAAAAAGCCATAAGCTCCTCCTGAAAGCATTCCCACAGTGCTGCACGGTTGTAATAGTTCTTTTGGATGAACTTGTAGCAAGAACTGAAAACTGACATAGTCATAGTCATGCGATTATTTAATGCACAAAACGTTGAATGTCCGATCACAATCTCCAAGGTCTGACCGCTCGCCTGCCCTCTGCGTAGAAGCCCTCTGATGGCCTGACGCACGCGATGGAATCTGTCACTGGTAATCCGTGAACACAAACGCGTGCCATCAAGCAAAGTCCCCAAGGCTTTGGTTTCATGCTGACCCACCTCCCCAGGATGAAGAAGCAATCCCCGGCCGCCGAAGTGCTCGTCCAAGTCCTGGAGGGCGCCACGCACAACTCCCTCATGAGGTGAGAGGACTCCAAGGTTGTCTACATAGACGTAATGACGAGTGGACTGACTTTGATCCTGCATTGAAGCTGCACTGCAAAAAACAACTGGAGGACCCTTGTCACTGATCAAGCTGGAGTCTTTCAAGCTCCGTGTTAATTGACACTGATGTTCATTGATCTTCTGGCTACAAAACAATGACCAGCTGAAGCCCATGCACAGAGAGCCTGGCATGGGATAGATAAGGTCGTTGCCCTTCAAGGTCACGCCATCCAGCACCTTCCCACCAAGACCCACCCAATGAGCCCGGATTGGCATAAAACAAAAGTACTCTGCAAGCCATCTCGGTTGTCTGAGCCTGTGAAAACAATCCTTCACATCGCTTAAGCCAATGAACAGGTTCATTGAGTTCAGCTCGTCCACAAAGTCTTGGTTTCCTGGACGTGCTTTGGATGACAATTGGCATTCGATCCTGCTGAACCCTTCACTGGAGCATAGTTCAACTCCGGGCGGCTCAGCAAAACGAACATTAGCCGACCTAGCATCAACAATGAGTCTAATCTTTTTGCCATCACTTTTAAAAACGAAAAAGACTCCAACATGATTCTTAGGGGTTTGGGTATACTGCAACAAGCCTATGCTGTCAAGTCTCTGAATGAACTCACGATAGTGCTTTCTGCTATTAGCGAGAACCGGATCCCAGTATGGGCGACGAGATTCGGCATCCACCGTCTCCTTGAGCATGAGCTTAGGTCCCTGCAGATATCGACGGGCATTGTCCGGCAAAAGCTCCTCAGCTAGTGGCAGTCCATGGAGGCTTTCCGGAAGAGATATGCGCTCGAGTTTGTATGGAGCCAAGGCAGTAGGGTTCTCAGGTTGGTGATACTCTGATCTGCCCTTGAGCAGCACGTGAAGGGCTGCGAGATTTACTGTGTCCAATGTCGACTGCCATCTTATGAATTCTCATCAAAGCCTCAGTCTGAAGAGGATCAGGCGTCAGAGACTCCGACACTTCATCATGCAAAAAACTTTGTTTCTTCACCATCCAGTTCAAGGCTTTGACAGCCTCGATTTCCGTTTCCCTATAATTCTAACTTTTCGTTGCCATCTTTGCGAGCTCCTTTTCGACAATCCCGAAACGGACCTCAAAGGAGCAGGAACTGGCAAGGGAAACAAGTCTCGTGAACGCCGAGCTGGATCTGGACGGCTGCCTCCCAAACTTGGTAAAGAAGGAGGATCCAGAGGGGAGGACATCTCTGAACCCTCCCCCACTGATTTCATGAGTCAGCTGGCGGAGCCAGGGGCTTCGCCTTTGCCTTGCGCTTCGGCTTGCCCTCACCTCCGCCTTGAGGAAGATTTCCATCAGCAATCGCTTTGGCCGCCTCGTCAGTGGGAATGGAGAGTTTCTTGTGCTCCCTGATCTTGGCTCTGGCCGCGGCCAATTCAACTTCTTCTTTGCCCTTCTTGGCTGCCCAAGAGCGAAGACCCGGCATCACCACATCTTCTGGTCCTTGGTAGCCGGACAGAATGCGAGCTGCTCCCCAATCTGGAGCAGAGCTGCTGCCACTGTTGTAGGCATCAACGATGCTTTGAACTCGTCTTGAAATTGTTTCCACGCAGGCCAGACTAGCAAGGTTCAGCTGGTCATATGATCCACCATGCTCCAGGCACTCCATGAGAGCCCTCATCTCGTGCATGACCCGGTCATTGTCCTGGATGCCCTTGAACCGGCTCCAAACTTGGAGCCACAACTTCGGGGACCGTTCTTCTGCATATGCTTGATGAGATGTAAACAGGATTGGGGTCCCTCATGCACCCAGTCTGGGTAGCTGTATTCACGAACCTCTTTGCAAACATCTCTCCAAGGTTTGTATCTTTCCCCTTGTTCATCATACTCGACAGGCAGGGTTCTTGCATCATCGGTCTCCTCCGGCCCATCGCCCCCAACCTCCTCCTTGGGGTCTGAAACCTTGGGCTCAGCTGAAGGTTCAACTTTGCCTAAGTCTAGACTGCGCTTCAAGGCACTGTTCAAGTCATCAACCACGGCAGGAGCCTGGACTGCACCAACCAATTTGAATATCGTCCAGCCCCGTGGTCCGGGAACAGCACAGTGGATGTCATCGAGCTTAACGCCTTTGTTCAGGCTGTCCACCGCTTCCGACCCCAGCTTAAAGTCCAGAGTGGGATGAACTGCAACCCAAAGTGATCCATCCGGAGCCTGTGCAACCCCAGGGCCAACATCAGCTACATGAGTCTCTGTTGGAAGTTCGAGCCTCCCTTGATCACCCCCACGGATGCGCCTTGGGACAAGCAATCGTCCCAGAAAGGCTGTGGCCTCATGTTCAGCGCCATCCATGTCAAAGATCTTCTGAGGTCTCCATCCCATATCGGCCTTGCCTAAGATGCCAAGCTCCTTCAAAGCGGTCTCAACATACTCCTTGAACTCTTCGTTTGAAGGGTGCCCATCAAATCGGTAAACAGGTTGGCCCAGCCGAGAGAAGTAATTGAAATCACCACCCTTCAGCTTGAAAGAGACTGGCCCGTTGTCCGATGTCCCCGAAAAGTTCTCAGCATACAAGTCTCTGTCAGGGGTCAACACATACCATGTCAAAGCATCTACTCTCCATATCATGATACGCTCATGAAACACCTCATCATCAGAGTACCAGACAGCTGCAATTTGCCCAGGAAGGCGTGACAGCAATTTCAATGCCCTTTCCGCGTCGCCTCCAGGATGGCGATAACTCATGACTCCGAGACTGGCCAGATCTGCAAAGGAACCGTGACCCCACTAGGCACGTCAGGAGCCCGAGCAAGAAGCCCGGAATGAAGTCAAGAGAGATCGTTAGTCCAGCCCGACAGGAACAATCGCAGTAGCAAGTCTGATTGATGTGAACAACAGGTGCAGTTTCCAAGTGTGGGCTTCCTTTAGGAAGTTGCCGGAACCCCACTTCCAGAATCTTAACAAGCCACACCGGCAACAGCCCTGTTGGTTTCATGGCACACTGGTTTTACTCTTGAGCCCCAAACGCCACACGTTTGAAGTGGCCACATCATTCAAAAGACAGCTATCACTTCCTCAGTCTTCAAGTGATTCACACAGCCATTCTTGTAAGGCAAAGTATCCAATGACTTACAAATTATTGTTTCTTGTATTATGGCCCCTTCCTAAGCCCAACAATTCTAGACTGATCAAACATCATCATACCAACCGATTTGTTTCCATTGCAAAAAACAAAAAGTAGAATCTCCATCCCCTCCTCCTGCACCTGAAGTCGAAGCAGGGTCTGAATCACTCGCCCACAACAGCCAGCTTCCGGAGCTGCCAAATCCCCAAGCATCACCACAGCACCATAGTCGGAACCTCAGGCGGTCACACTGGGATGGCTCGGCACACCAAGTCTGCAAGTCACTTCATAGCTGAAACGGCTGAAAACCCAACCAAAATCCATACAAATGCTTTGGAGACACACAAATTGTTGGACATAAACCCAAGACTTCCGGCATTGTAGCAGCGGCAAGCTCCTTTTCAAGGACACATCCGACCCCACAGGTGTTGATCTGCAGCCACTAAAAAGACTCATGGCCAACAGGATCACTCTGCTTCCACACCTAGGCATCATTTAAGAGCTTGCCTCTCAAAGACACTTCTGGATTCCTGTATTCTTGGAAACCCCTCTGCCAGCTCGCAAGAAGACGCAAGGTGCTTGAACTCTGGGGTGCTAGGCTGGATTCTCTGACGCACCATGATCTGAGCATGGCAGGTCTTTTATGCCGATGAAAGATTATGAAACATGTTGGGACAAATCCTTAACTGCCCAAACGCTCCAAACAGCCCTTGGTCCCTCAAAACCTACAAAATTGAGACCCCTGACCCCTCCATATGAGGGCCCATGAGCGTCTGGGTGTATCATGCTTTACAGATTTCTCCTGTTCTTCTCTGGAAGGTTCAGCGGAGAACATCTACAAAGGCCTCTAAAGACTTCCAGCACTGCACTCTCGGAGAATCATCCTCTTGGTGTCACAAGCATGAACTATAATATAATTTGGTGTGTGTTTCAAAAGGAAGATCCATTGGCCCAATTGATAGACTGGTCTATGTCCCTTCTTCCAGGGGGTCGTTGCCTGGGAGGTCTCCCTATTTTAATGGCCATATAGAACATCGGTTGAGGTGTCAACGCTACTTTGGAGGAGCTGACCAAACCTGCATGATGGATCCTGGTCGATAAACGCAGCGCCGCGGCCATCGAGCTGCTTGCGGATGGGAGGCTGCCACGTCGCAGGGTTACACGACTACTGCTGAACCTCTTCCATTTGAGACCTGAAGCTGAAGGGAAGTTGGGAAGATCCGATGACCCTTTACAGATGTGAAGAAATGTTGAGAAATCAAAATGTTCGACTCGAACCACTTGGATTTGCAAAACCAAACTCATGTCACTCAACTTGGCATCCGATCATTTGGGTTTGCAACACTTTGAGATGCCGATCAACCTTACGCCTGAAGCTGCCAAATCATGCTTGCCCACCTCAGGGCCCGATGCAGCCTCTTAGCTGGGAATATCTACTGGATAGTTGCCAACCAAGTCCCACAAGTGAGTCTGTTTCTTTGGGTGAGCGCAAACCATGGCTCTCATCACTCAGATCTCAACTTCTGATTTTCGGGATCGGCCTCACTCCCACGTCGACGGTCGGAAACCGGAAGGAATCCGGTTTGGAACCCCCGCAGAAACCGCATAAACCCGCAGAAACCCGCCTCGACACAAGGCTAAGGATTGTGTCACCGCTGCCAAATGTGCGCGAGGGATGGCTTGGGTCCGATCTAACTCCACACGGTTCGCGTTCAAGCGGAGGCCCCGATAGGCTTCAACCTCAGGCTGAGCTGTTGCTGAAAGAGGATGGTACCTGAGGGAACCATATGGGAACCTGGTACCAAATAGAATTATCTAGATGCTTGCAAATTCTGGCTGCAGCCGGATTTCTTCCACGTGACCGAAACCATCAGTCCGGCCATGGCTGTGTCATGCTGTGTCCAAGAAACTGCGGAGTAGCAATGGTGAGAAAGAGGCAAGTCTGGTCATTTATGGAATCAATAGCTATATAATGCTTAGGCTTTCGCTATAAGCCTTACTGGTCACATCCTCGATATTGCCTTGCTGGCCATATCATCGATCCTCATCTCCTTGTAAGACAAGCAAGGCTTCGACCATCCCATCTTCTGTGCGACCAAATCCACACGTCTCCCGAAGGTCTTTTGCCACGACCACGACGTAGGTGCTTGGCATTGCCACCAGCAGCGCCACGACACACGAAGAAGAATCATGCTGTTGTCCAAATTCTTTTGAGTGTCCACAGGCTTTAATCAACGGATTCTTCGAGGTTCCTGTGCAGTCAATGATGATTCCTGTCTGATGCGTCGAAATGCAGTTCGCGCAACTGGAGGGCTCAGGGACGAAGGGTAGGCCCCTCGCTTGTCACCACTTCGGCAGAAAGGTTGCCCAGGCCTCCAGTCTGCCAGATCGCTTCAAGAGGATGTTGTGTCCATACCTTTGCATGTGATGGTGAAACTGGGCAGCATTATAATATGGAATGAGTATTTTGCATTCAACATGGAGCAAGCATTGCGGAGAGGACAAGGCAAAATTCAAGCCTGCCAATGCACTGCTTAACGCCCTTTTCAGTAGAGACTTCTGGCCAGATTGGGCACTTAAAACTGATTCTTTCGGACTGCAACTCTTTTGCAAAGATCGTTGGTCAATCTTCGGGGGCAACATCGGCAATCAACAAGTCGACGAGTCGTTCTGGCTGAGGTCAATCGAGAGTTCGTTCCCACTTGCTGCGCGTTCCTACTTGGTCAAATCCGGTTGGAATCCATTGTGCTCTGCACATGGCGAGCACTGAGCACATTGAATAGTCAGGCACCAACGGGTCCGCTCGCGCGCCGCTCTATTATATAAATTACACACCTATTAAATAATCCTAATTAATCCTGGATATAATTCAAAGTCTCTGGGGGAGACACACACCCAGAACCTCTTTCCATTCTGAACCAACCAGCAGGGGGCCGACGCAAACCATGATTTTGTCCAATCCTCACATGTTGCAAGCATTGTGCCCAATGAAGATGCTCATACTGACTCATACACATGAAATGGAGAAACAATAAGTCTTGGGCGGTGACCTTACAACCTTCAAGTTCAGATTAGCCATATTTTATACTTTATACATAATGCAAGTCTGTTCAATGCCCTGTCGTTGCCTTCTGGTGGCCCACGTGCAAGGCCATGATCAAAACCAAAAGACTGGACTGTGACTATGGTCATGGTGGAGCATGCAAAAGGAGCGGGAGGTGGAAAAGACAAAAGACTACAGGGCTGTGAGTCAAATCAAACACACCAAGACTCTTGTTTGGTTTATCCATCCGTTAATTTTGCATGTCTGCATGTCGCTGGTTCTCACTTGTTTCTTGCTGCACGTGCATTTTGTTGTGACAGTGTCCTCTGTCGGCGCTGCATGTGGGCTTGTCTGTTGCTTTGGGCTTGGTGGATATTAGTTGGTGCTTTGGCGCATGCCCAAACCCCTTCCAACCGGGATCGAAATCCATCTTCTCATTTGGGCGGGTCAATTTGGGTCCAGGGTGTTTGACCAAAAGCCATCATAGTGTCGTAGAGGCACAAAGTACAAACGGATTGGCTTCAAAATGAGACCCTAAACTATGGGTTCAATCCAGTTCCTCGATCAATTATACCCGTGTTTTTTGCTTAAACAAAAACCATCTTTGACAGAGCTCTGCAAAACACCAAGCCCTGGAGATCAACAAGAGTACGTTCTGCGGCATTGACATGCCTGTCTGTGGCGGGCGGTTCACCGGAGAACGCTCTTTCAAACCCAAAACACTCCATGTATGCCTGACCTCTGAAATTCCCGGCCAATGTATATATGGGCAAATATTCCAGTCCCATGGGTCGTGGAAAAGACCTTGCCAGGCCAGCGAAATTGTTGCGGCAAGCAGCCACCATGTCGACTGAGATTCCGCAGTTGACCAAGGTGGCCTCGAAGGATGAGTGGCAACAGGATGAACAAAAAAAGCCGGCAAAAACACAGTGACGAATCTTGGTCGCAATGCTCCAAGCTCAACAGAAAGCAGCTAAAGAATGGCTCAGACTTGAGGATGGCAAGAAACCAGGGACTGAGGGTCCGACAGGTGTTACTTCGGTCTCTTCAGTATTTCTGACCACTACATACCACTACCACCCGTTCAACCCGAAGAACTGAAAAAGAACACCCGCCGCCTCTTGTTCGTCATTCCATAGGCCCGGCACCATGTGAATCACATCTTCGTCAATATCGTTGCCATCACACGTCACCAACACCTGAGCGACCAAAACACCATGTTCAACGCTCGCGAGATGCCAAGTGCGGCGACCCGAACGCCGAGTTGGGGGCCCTAAACACGCTCGTCCGCTTGTAAAGGATGGCGTGGTGACATGTGTTTGCTTTTTTGTCTGTGTGGCGCCAGGCACCAAGATCGAATACCCATTCCATTCCTTTGAAAACAGAAACGACAAGCGCAGGAGTATGTTTGGTTGCCAAGAAAGCAACGGTTGCTCCCCGAAAACGAGGCTCACTTCATGGATTGCTCGCCCTTCTGGTCGGACGAAGGCCCAACTACTTCGCTTTAGCCGCTTTAGCCCCCTGTCCAAGTCCGCAAAGAAGTGAAAGGTGAAGAATTGCTCGAGGCACACCCCAACTAGAAGATGGCCGCGTTGTGTCAACGAGTGTAGTCTCTAGGAATGTAGGCAAGCTAACTTTGGACCAGAAGCAATGTTTGTATTGGAATGCCACGCGCTGGCAATCTCTGCAGCACACCACATCCTCTTCAGAGTTTCTGAAGTGATGAGGACCACGACATTCTCCTTGGGATGGTGACACTTCGGAAGATGAGGCAACAAGCAACAGAATCCGTGATGTAACCATCAAGGTCGCTTCAATGCAGGGAGATTCTCATTCCTAGAATTATCTCGCTCCATGTTTTGCCTCCACCTCTTGTCCCACCCAGTGTTGGAGGTCTTGCCCACCGGATCATAACTTTGGAAACTCTGTGGTCAAAGTCTGCAAACCCATGAGCCCCTGACCCTGAGTCTGCAAAACACTGGCAACACACTTGCACGCAAACACAAATATCACAACACCCTATGTTGCTATCAATGTTTTCTGTTGTTTTCTGGCAAATGTGTCCATGTTATGCAAAACACTCGGGGAAACGACACAATAAATGCAATCTGGAACATCTGCTCAAGCAAAGGGTGGCTGTCGGTATCCCGTGATGTCACGTCCAGGATGGAATCCAGCTTGTTGACGTCATCGGAGTCCAGAAAAACTCGATTGGAGATCGTATCGGCCATCATCATCTTAAACCACCTGCGGACAACAGGGCAGTTGAGCTGGGTTGAAATCATCAAACATGTGCACGAAAGACCTTCAATGACGTTTGATCTGGAGACATACATGGCTAGGGCCTGCTAGGGCTAGCAAAGTACCAGGATACCTCAAAGACCTCAATGGTGTTGGTGAGACATACATGGCTAGCATGAAACCAACAGGTTGACTCCTGAACACTCCTGACCTGTTTTCCTATTCTGCGACCACATCTCACTCACCCGACCTCAGCACCGTCCGATTCTGAAAACCCCTCTCAAATGCCCGACCTGGCAAGTGAGCCAGCACCCAGCTTATGATGGCTTAGGAAGACTCCATAGCGGCACATCGGCTTGTAAACCCGCCGCACGGCCAAGCCCAGTGCAAAGGCGGCGCACAGAAAGGAGATGACGACCACGATCCTCACGAGCTCACGAGCTTCGAAAAGAGCTCATCCACTCATCCTGCAGTAGATAGAATACGGAAACTTCACAAAAAAACATTGGAAACTGGGCATGTGTTCGGATTGGTTCACTTTCTATCTACTGGACAATAAAAGATCTCAAGAGATATGTGGGTGGGTGAACAGGAGGCACCATTGAGCACCTCACTCAGAACTGTGGATTCACACCTTCAAGTGGACACTTTCAGACACTTTCAGCATCATGCTGTATCGTACCAGGCAGTCATCAATTTATTCTATTGAACCAGCCCCAGTCACGACGAAACCCTGACAACTGCAAAGAGGTCAACGGTTGTGACCGAAGCGACGCACCGCGAGAACGCGGCGCCCGCCGCATCTCGTGGTTGGACAAACCACGAGACGGAGCCTTCAACCAATGTAGTGAGGGGGTTGTTCTACAAAAGTATACTGTGTAACAGTGCGTGCCTAGCTGACCTCAGACTAAACTCGCATGTCAAGCAGAAGATGCACGCCAGATCATTGAATTGCACACACACTTGGCTAAGACCTGCATTGTGAATGATGACAACTGCCCAAATCCAATTAACAAGCGTTGGTTGCAAATGATCCTTGTGATGCCAAGCTCTTCAGGAGAGGACAGAAGAACACCAGGCTCGGTTTTCGCATCATGTTCCCTTCCAAAATCTTCCGAATAGTGATTATGTGGAGAACCCTCCCAAAGCATAGCAGTCTCTTTTTTACACAGGTCTTTCCGGCCTGAAGAGTGGCCACCAAATGTCTTCGTCCCTTTGAACCCCTCCTTTTCACCAGGTGAGAACGGAGAAAGCCAGGGTCCGACGCGGTCTGCAAGTGGAGAAAGTGGATCGTTGCCATTGGCACAAATCCAAAGCCAAGGGTTTGTTAATCCATGAGATGCTTTTTGGGAAAACCACCCTCCAAAAAGAGCATCGCTCCAGAAGATGCTGACACAATGGCTCTTCACTTATAGACACACATGCGATATGAACGAACCAGCTATGATCTTGTATTTTCCTTTCTCTTTTTGTTCGTAACTCCTGCTTCGCAGCTATGAGTCATGGAGAGCACCTGGACATTGAACAGCTCCTCTTTAATGTCGAAGTCCAATAGAGTTGTGGCGCTGATCATGCTCATGTTCAGCAACAGCGACAGGCCTGCCAGAGATGGAGCGATGTATCTGAACTCTGGTTCTTGGATGCCTCAAGATATTCGCTGAAAGTCAAGATCTGGCAAAGCCGAAAAGACCTTCCTCCCTATATAAACTGATCAGAAGTGGTCACGGTGGCGCTTCCAACGGTGAAACTTCCGATCTACTCCATAGTTGGTATGCTGAGTTGGGCTCGCAAGCATCAGAATGCGTCTGACACGGTGAATTGAAGTACAAAATTCAGACATACTCAACAACCAACTACCTGCTGCAGAAGTTCTCGGGTACATCAACTCCGATCTGTTTGTGTTGGCTGAAGACGTTATCGGATGGCTTAGGCTATGATACATTCTGCAATCCAATGACAATGATTCCCTGGCAGGTGGTTTCAACACACCTGAAAAATGATCAATGATAAACAATGGTCATGAGCCATTAGGATTCCTCATCGCAGGTAGAGGCCAAACAAAACATCTTCGAAACCATGGTACCAGTTTCCTTCTTGGGCCAAAAAAATGATCGCAAACCTCTTCAAACAGGACTTCGCTGAAACGGCTGCGAGAAGAAGCTGCGTGAAGCGGAATTGGCGTCGCCTGCATCCATCCAGTTGGCGAACTGCGTCCTCCAGGGCCAAAGCCTCGCCTCACGCGCCGTCGGAAAGAATTTTGGGTTTCGCAGCCGGGGAATGCGAACGGTTCGAGCGGAGAAAAAACCAGTTTCACACCGTGAGCAAATACAGGAAATTGTGTGAAATCTGTCCCTTTATCATGTGAACGCATGTGATCACCTAGTTTGCCCACTGCTTCAGCTACTACGTAGTTCCACATCATCAGCTGGTGGGGACATGAGTTTACATGAGTGTATCCACCAGGCCAGCCACAGCACGGATACAATTTATGACCAGAATCTTGCTCTGAAAGGGGAGTACTGGAGTATAAAGAAGTGCGCTTGAGTATAATTAATATAGACGCTTGATGAAACCCCACCATTTGGATTGTAAAACCTCTTCAATTGAGGATTGTGCAACATTTTGCAACATAATCAAGCGTCTACATTAAATACAGTCCAACTATAATCCAGCCATTGACTATGTGTCTTAATTGATTTCTTCAAATCCAAAGGCTTAAACGGAGTAGTCGTTCTTCTCCGCGGTGTCCCACCCCAGCACCCGGACCCGACCTGCAGAAGGGAGTAAGTGCACATGGGGAAAGCCAATGAGAGGACCAACAAGCTGCTTTGCGCGGTGAAGAAGACCTCAACTGGCACACGACTCGCGAATCGCGCTGTCTTTAAATTCCAAGTTGATGTGAATTCGCTTCAGATTTCTGTCAAGAGTGGTTGGAGGAGACAGAGACAAAGTGATTTGGTTGCAGGGCAATGGTTCTTGTCATGTCTATATACGAAGCAATTGACGCAACCAATGAGTGATTGACTAAGTTGACAGGTGACACATGCAAACACACCCCCAGAAAATGAAACACCTATATGAAGCATTCTAAAGCTTTATATTCGGGCTAAAGGGCCCAAATTTGACGCCTGAAACACCACACAGCTTGAAATGGGGCCCTGCCAAGGGCAATTGGCCACTGAGGCATGAAAGGGGGGAGAAAGAAATCGTGTAGAGCCGTGACTCACTCGACACACAAAATCTCTAAATCCTACAGTGGACACAAAGATCATAATCTAAACATCACAAAAAAAACAAAACAATATGATTTCTTGCTTAATGATAGGATGATATGACCTTGACATCGCTCAAAAACTGTTCTCATCAAACTCTGGAAGTTCGAACACCAGGAAAGAGATGTCTCCAAAAGAAAGGACTACCTCCATGGCTGGTTCCCAAAAATGTGCTCCCAGATGCCGGGATAAGGCCAATGAGGAAGCTGCGGAAGGTCAAGATCAGCGAGAAGTAATAGCAGCTCGGGGTGAAGTGACCAAACATGAAGGCCCATTGCTTCACCTAGTGACAAGTGCATCGCTACTAGTAGGGCATTGCTACTAGTAACAAGGGCATCCCTACTAGTAGCAAGGGCATTACTACTAGTAACAACTGGGAAGCAATACGTTCTTCCGTTCTGCGTTCCCGCCGTCTGCGTTCCATGCTTCGAACGATGTCTGCGGATGTCACTGCGGTTGTTGAGATATGGGTGCCACATGGTGGATTCTCCTGTTGGGGGCACATGATTAATGACCAGCGACCCATGATTGAGGACTCATGATGAACTTCTCAACTGCTTAATCCTCCAGTCACAACACCTTACTTTCAACACAAACACATGGCATCTGTCTTTGTTCACCTATATACTAGGGACGTCAGGGGGAGGGGGAATTCAGAATCCCCAACCTCAACGACACCCTCGAACATGCTCAAGCATTCCAAAGAAGTACTAAGTACAGCTTCTAGATTCAACAGACCAAATCCAACCAAAGTGCTTTCAACCAAAGGCCCTTTGGATCCCATGGCGCCCGAAGAGCCCCATCTCGCTGCCAACAGCGAGAAGAATTCCCCAAAATCGGTGGCATTAACGTCCCCTCACCTTTTAGAAGGAAAGTTCCTGGAACACTTCGAAACTGACAGCTCTTTCGGCAACGCGGGCTGCTTCACCCACCCGGTCCTACCCGCCCTGAGGGGTACTAGGTACAGCCCAACACCAAAACGCCTTGTTTCCGTTTGCCGAAGCACCCACTTAGCGCCACCAAATCTCCGTAGCCTTCTGGGATACTCGAAGGCCTGCGGGGGCTCACCGGTGTGTGCCTGGGTAGATGGGAACAGGTCCCAGAAGCACCTGCAAGAAACTACTACCGCAGATGGACAATGAGAAAAATCATCCAACAATCCCATGTCCAGTTTGCACTTGCTTTACAGTAGTGGTCCCGGAATAAATAGCAACGGTGTCCAATAGATTTTTCGTGGGGATCTACGAACTTCTATCTACTTGGGGACCACTATAGGGTATTCAATCACTTCCAACCTATCGTGACATATCTTGACCCCTCCCCCCAACATGCATGTGAGCCTTCTAGTGTGCCTTTGGGGAGGAAGCCAAACGCTCGCAATGCAGCTTTGGAAGTCGCATTCAACATTCTTCACTCTGGGGGGGGTTCAGGGATGGTATACTATAAGGGGTTTATTAGCAGCTACTGACTCAGGGATTTTAATATGTTGTCCATCTACATCATCTAAGTCCTTCAGTGCGGGACCCAGATGGGACATTTTCCATGAATCTGTGTGGCATGAAATGCGACGCATCCCCAACTATAGAACCACGCCACTGCAATATCTACGCGAGCTCTTTGTCATGAAGCATCTCTTCCATAATGAGGTTGCTGCATTTCATTTTACACCCTCAAGGGTAGTGCTGCTGTGTCAGTGTCCCTCTCACCTTGCAGCCCTGGATTCCAGGTGTCCCTCTCACCTTGCGGGCGAGCAGGGCCAAAAAGAGCACCACACCCGCGAAGAAGGGCACCATGGACGTGATGGACAAGGCCTGTCGCGTCGTTGAGTTGTCGACTCGCACCGGCGGCCGTGGCGATGGAACACATGGCTTGTGACACACCGTGGACGAAATATGAGCATAAGGGCTTACGATGGTACGTGCTGGGATACTGGTGATTCAACATGATTCAAGCAATTTGATGGAGAGTTAGCATCTGGTCCGAGTGGTGAATTGCCAGGGTGTTAAAATTGATGGTTTTCAGGGCAGAGAATGGTAGAGATAGTCCGGAAATGGATCACTCATGATCACTCTTGGTCAAAGAGATGACATGTCGGTGATTAATATGATGAGGAAAAATAATCACCCGTTCCTTCTCTTGACTAATCAATGTCAACCAATACACTGTTCTGTTCAGCTCTTCCAACAAATTAACTGGAAAAACCTGCCACAACTGCAGAAATGTCAACCAATGGCTCTGCATGATGAATGTCATCCATGCGCGGCTTCGCAACACCTGTGACATGACTGTTTATATAATATGTATAAACAAAAGTCCAACTCTAGACGCCGACTCTTGATGGAAAACAGCCTATTATACGGCATTTGGAAGCTTCAGGTCACACTGTGAAATCATGTGGCCACCCCATCGAACGGTTGAACTCGTTCATCGACTGAAGCCACCGGCAAGCGGATCCTACGACGCAGTTCCTGATCATGTGCATGGCTTGACTCGCGTGAAGCATGTGCGACATGCGTGAAGGGCCATCGGAGTTTTCCAGGCAAGTGACGAGATGGGCACTGTCTTCCCAACAAAGTACCTGCGGTCGAGAGCTGCAAGCTGCGTGCCGTACCCACATCGACATCAAACCAACAGTTCCACCTCTCAATTAGTCAATATTAACCTATCATCAAACTATATCAGCACAAAACCAAGTGCAAGAAGGAGCAACGCTAGCATCACGCTGTTTCGCGATCTGTTGGCCAAGAGGCACTCCGGTGAACTCCCAGGGACAACGAGCCGTCGGGATTTGCCACGCAACGAAAGGGTCTCATAGTCAAGGCCATGAAGACCTGATCGTGGACGCCAAATTGAACTTTTGAGAAACAGCCAGTCTGAAGTACCAAGACCTCCTGACTGACAAGCCAAGAATGAGCGATCAGTGACTGTCAGGCAGAACACAAGGTTCTCAGAATCAATCACAGTTGGCGCCCAAATGGCTGTTGACTCAGAGTTGGCCTTAGAATGTGTATCCGAATGACTTCAACATCTTCTTCTTGGACCAATCGTCATCCATTGGACCCCGATCTTGGCGGCCACCACTGAGGCACAGGCCATAAAGATCGCCTCAATTCGCAGCAACTTTCTCAGAAGGAGTGCCCGGAAACTTGACTTGCGACAAGGCCTTTTTTGGAGATAGTTGGGATGTTAACATGAGCCACGATCAACATTTTTTCCAAATTGAAGGAATCAGGATTGGGTATATTTGGTGTGTGTGTGTGTGTCAACCCCTGTGCCTAAGGGTTTCCACTCCATGGTTCGTTTTTTGAATCTCACTTTCTGCAGGGGACCAGGCATCTCGCTTCTAACCTGGTCTGACAAAGCTAGGCAGCGAGATGGGAAGCACTGAGAGACGTCTCGGTGTGTACCTGCTGAGGTTTTCACAAGCTGTCACCCTACTTTTCCACGGTTTGATTCATGGTTCTTTCACGATACTTCCCCCAAACAGGTTCCCTCCGCCGCTTTCCACCGTTGCTGAGCGCTTCCGCAGTCAAGTGAGAAACTCTTTTGTTCAAACACCTACAATTTCTTGGACCCTTCGCCTTGCTGTTCTTTCGCCTTCCTTCCACGTGGGAATTGAACAACTGAAAACCAATGTCAGAGTGTGAACCGCTTCCACCTTACCTTGGATTTTCTTAACAGCCTTAGTGTCACCACTGGATTGCCTGAATCATGAGCCGCCGGGCTTTGACGGAAGGAACTTGATCCGATTCATGCTTGCAGCCTACTTTCAATTTCAAGAGTGTACAGTCACACATTTTCCACCACGGTCACTTTGCGATCAGGCACGTTACGCTTAATTTCCACTTGTCCTGAAGCTAAAGGGACACAATGCCAAGGAGTGTGAGCGCTTTTTGCGAAAAAAATCACACGTGCGCCGACGACGGCCACGTGTGTGTCAACCCCTGTGCCTAAGGGTTTCCACTCCATGGTTTGTTTTTTGAATCTCACTTTCTGCAGGGGGACCAGGCATCTCGCTTCTAACCTGGTCTAACAAAGCTAGGCAGCGAGATGGGAAGCACTGAGAGACGTCTCGGTGTGTACCTGCTGAGGTTTTCACAAGCTGTCACCCTACTTTTCCACGGTTTGATTCATGGTTCTTTCACGATACTTCCCCACAAACAGGTTTTCCTCCGCCGCTTTCCACCGTTGCTGAGCGCTTCCGCAGTCAAGTGAGAAACTCTTTTGTTCAAACACCTACAATTTCTTGGACCCTTCGCCTTGCTGTTCTTTCGCCTTCCTTCCACGTGGGAATTGAATAACTGAAAACCAATGTCAGAGTGTGTGGTATATACAGTATTGTAATTGTCGGCTCAAAACTGTATTTTGAGACCCCCCGTCCGTCTCTTTCCTTGTGTTGTTTTTGGCAAATGTTGGCGTTGACTGTAACTCATGTCCTGCCACAGCCCATTCAGTGATGTTTGATGGACTTGACTTCGTTGGAAGGACACTGGTAGGAGACTATGATGGATTTCGGGATTCCCATGGCTTCTCCCCTTCCGTTACAAGTTACAATCATCTTCTAGTCCCATACAACAGCATGGCCCGCCCTGTGCAGGGAACGGGTCTTCCTTCAGGACGTCAGGTGCCATGTTGGCCAGAGTGGCCAACAAATACGGAAACCATGAATCTCATGAATTATGATCTGGCCAAACCAATATCACCAAAACAAGTCATGCAAAATACTGGGGGATTAGGTGCAGCGACTTTGGTGAAGAGTATATGCAGTACACCATTATACACCTATATGTCTTAAGAAATTAACTCCCTTTTTGTGCTTAAAACTACCCTCCGGCAAGTTAACCCGCAGAAACGAAAACGACACTATACCATCTTTGTTGGATGAGGGAACTCTGAAAAGGTGTGGAACTCTGAACGGCTGGGAGTAGAGCAAGGCGATCTAAAGTTGAACAGCCCAGGAGAGCTCTTTTTGGCAAAGCTTCCAACATCAGAACGCCTTCCGCGTAGATCACTTCATTCCAGGTGATGTCCTCAGTTGTTTGGTCAGGAGGGTTGTCTTCTATATCACATCTACTGTGCAAACAAAGGTGTAGGGCCCAACTTTGTTCGGGTATACTGCTTCGTTGATTCATCAAGGGGTGCATGCCCATCAACTATGAACTTCAAAGCAGCATATCACATTGCTGATGACTGTGTTAATACCACATACAAAGGTGGTGATGCTTGCAGCTTCCCGAATCTCACCGATTCCAAAGTACCAGATCGGTTCAGTTCGATTGAAAACGTATACTGCAAACTTGCTGGACGTCCAACGATCATCGTTCATCCGTTCTGAAGTTCGACAGTTCGGCAGTACAGTCAATTGGTTCGGTCGGTTTTGTGTGTTCCGGGACAGATCTTTCGGTTCGGTCAGCACCCACCACCCACCTCGAGGCGACTGATGTGAAATGATATCTTGTTACGTTCGTAGCTTCTTGTTACTAGTAGCGATGCACTTGTTCCTAATAGCTTCTTGTTACTACTAGTAAGGCACCTGTTACTACTAGCGATGCACTTACATTTTATATCATTGTATATTTAAGTTCATGGTGGTAAACCCCTGTTCACCCAAGTCAAACGTCTTGATGCGACGGCGAAACAGGCGACCAAATTTGGATCCTTTTATGACTTATCAGTTGATTTACGGAATGGCTCCCTGCATCTGAGCAGCCTTCTTCATCACATACTTTCCAAAGGCAAAGGCCGAGAGCACGGCAAATGCCATGCCGGGATAGCAAAGAATCGAGACGATGTAGCTGGACACTGGATCTCGAGATCCAAACCAACCTGTAGCTGGACGTGCGTGGACGCCAGAATCGGCGGAGGGCCAGAATCGTGAACGGACTGGTCAATGTAAATGTACATATTCCATACATGGAGTGTCTGTCTGGCGTTGCGACAGAGCCTGCGTGTACCAGAAGTACGCCATATCCCTGGATCTGGCTGTGAACTGCTGGATGGTGACTCCTCTGACATCTTCTGACATTGCTTGCAACATTAAGAATATCAAGATGATGCATATTACTAATTACAACATCTCAAAGAACGCAACTTCTAAGTGGGACCTTGTTCCTTATTAATGGGAAGTTGGTGAAGTCTGGGTCTTTGAGAAGTGTTGCAACAACCCCGAGGTTCGTGGGATGTTAAATCCACTGGGTTCACGGGTCTACGTTTGGCATAGAGGATCAAAGAACCGTGGAAGAACATCGCAACATCTCTCAAGCCTCCGCTGGCCTCATTGAGCATCCCCTAAACCCTCCTAAACCTCTTGTTCTCACCCACAAACACCACACTCACTGCCACTGCGCCCTCTCCGCCCTCTCCGCCCTCTCCAGCCGCCCAGCGGCAGCCGGGTCTCAGGACGTCGAAGTCGAAGGACAAGACCAAGGCCACGGAACGAAGGCTCTTCAGCGGCTCCACCAGCTCCACCTGAGCGGCGAAGGCTACGGCTCTAAGGCTCTTCAGCACAGGTAGCGGTCGGTGGGGATCAGCCGGTGGGAGCAGCAGGTGGGAGCAGGCAGGTGAAGGGAAGAAAGAAACGAGATCAGTGGGATGGTTTGAAGGCGTTTTTGGTATCAGTGACTGAGCTAGGGAGGAAAGGGGAAGATGTTCCAGAGGCAAGAGGAGAAGGTGTTTGGTACAGGCACATCTACACAGGGTCAGGTCATTTGATGTGGCGGCAAAAGGATTTTGGCCTGGTTTCCACCCAGAAAGTTCATTGGAGCCTTGGTTTGAGAAAGCTCATGATCCAACGGCCTCGCTGCCACTGACACAACCAGTCCAAGCACGTCTCAATCACCAAGCTAAAGTTTGAAAAGAGGACACCCCTTTCAAGCCAAGGTTTTCTTGGACTTGTTTGTTGAGCTCCTTGGAAGCCAAAAAGAAAGAGCAAATATCGTAAAGAAAAAATCAAGAAGACAAGGTTGAAAGATTGTCTAAGGAAACAATGAAAATCGTCAAATAATCAAAGCAAAATATCTCGAAAGCAAAAAAGGTCCAAAGAACAAAATGTCTAAATTCACAGTAAACATGAAAAAAAGGACACCCTTTCAAGCCAAAGTTTTCTTGAAATCATTTTGTCGTGAAGATTCTTGACACCAGGTTGGTTTGGTTCTACTCCCTCCTGATGCTGCGAAAGCGCAGGCCACTCACAGGAAAGCTGACCAAGGCACATCGATGCTGCTGAACATTGGCAAACCATTTACTGATGCCTCAAAACACACGCATCAGGTAGTCTGCACGTGTGTCATGTGTCTGTTCCATTCCTTTCCTGTCTCGACTCGACTGCTTGCAAAGGCAGCTTCAGTTCGTTTCAACACAGCCCCGGCGGCCCCGGCCCCCCTAATGCCAATCACACATACAATGCCAACTTTCACGACCTTGCCAAGCCAAAAGACACAAATAGATCGCTGGTCGCTCTCCTAAATAGATCGCTCGTCGCTCTCCTTTTAAATGTTTCCAAGACACAAAGGTGAGCCCAGCGGAGAAGATGATGATGCACAAGGAATCCCGGTGTGTCCGGTCCACCCGTGTGGCCGAGAGGTACAAGGCCACCAGCGCCAGCAGCACAAAGAGGCCAGCCACGATGAGGGGCCACACCACAAAGCTGCTTTCCTGGACCAACAAGTCACCCGACATCTTTTCTTCCCAAAAGTCCAGTCCCATCTGCCCCCATATTCAAGCATCGACTAAAACCAATACATTCTAGTGCTGCATTTTACCAAAAGCCCTGTGAATCGTGGAAAGGCATCGCGTAGCTTTATGAAGTACGTCTTCTCGAGCTGGCAGCTTTCAAACTGTTCAATCCGTCAGCTTTCCTTCCTGCTTCTGCACCACATAACCATGGGCAAAAACACATGAAAGCACTATATACACACTGGAACAAAAAGTCTAAACAACAAATGAGTCGCCAACAGTTTTGATATGTATTTATTATGCTTTATTCATCATGCTTGAAGATCCACCATGATCCACCTGCATACAGCATACATGCCTTTACAAAAACAGTTCATCATGCCTGAAATACCTGACCACTCCTTAAACAGAGCCACTCGGGAATCGAAACACATCCGAGTCTCAGAACAGCTGCGGCAAAAGCCCTTGTCATCGAAATAACCCGGCGCACAATTGATGCATGCGAAGCCAAAGGAGTTCGGCATGCACTCTCCCAATGGAAGCCCCCCCCGGGCAGCCTCAGATGAAATGAAGGGGGTTGGCAGCACCTGCGCAAAGCAAATCGTGAAGACAATTGAAACAACTTGTGAGGGGGGTTCCACGAGGGGAAAAAATGCCAATTCCAACTATATGTTTGTTTGTTTTTTTAAAGCAAAAGCGGTCTGCACGGATCTATGCAAATTCCAACGGTCTGCAGTGCAGGAGGAATTCCAACTCAGTGCTTCGGTGAGTTATGTGTGCCCGACATGGGAGTCTGCGGCACGCCCCTGTTCAAAGTCTGCACAATCCCCCAAAGAGGGTTTATATTATATGGACCCCCATCTAAAAGACATGTAGGGGTTTGTGCCATCTACTCTGAAACCACTGTAAAAGGACACATGAGGAGGGGATGCAATGCCGGCCCTGATTCCTGGCGGAGTGCTAGTGACTAGTGCGTATAGTCGCAGCTGGATATGTTGTTCGACATGGTCCCTTCATGTCCCTTGTGTCCTCGATTCCCCTATCGGATGTAGCATAGTTTATGGCTGACAGCGTTTTAGAGGACCTTCTCATCCAACGCCTCCGTCAAACCGTTTGATTCTGCAAGGCGTTTCAGTCAGAATCACATGTAGCCTGGTCCAAGGTCACGCGTTCTTTCCATGTCACGCATCCCTTACAAGTCGCGGGAGTTGTCGCCACATTGAACCACATAGGAGGGATCCCCACCATCATATAGAGCAGCGCCCGCTGCAAAGCCCCTTGCTTGCAAAGGAGCCTGGCGAGCCCGTTGAATTACACAAGTATGCAACAGATTGCAAAAGTGGGAGGTGTGTGAAACTAAGGAAGTCCCGGTAGAAGCGGAAAAATACAACAAGTCAGGGCTGCAATATCTCAGGACTGCGTTGAAGTTCCACACTTTGTCCAAAATGACCATTCAGCTCGAAGAGCCCCTCACAATGGCCCACCCACAAGCTTCACGTGTCCAGACTGAAAGGCATGAAAACAGGGGCGTAACTTTTGGAGAGCGCGAGTAATTACTGTACCTTCTACCAGTCCCAGTACCTGAGTACCTTCTACCAGTACCCCAGCTGCATGTTTCAAGACTCAAGGCCCAACCTGATGCTTGCTGCTGCCGTTGGAGAGATCGAAACCACCCAGGCACACTAAGCCGCGCGAACAGTTCTTGCAGAAAGCGCTGCTGTTTTCATTCACTCGATGCCAGTAGCTCCCTGGAGGACATACACACTCACGTTGTGATGCGCCCAAGTGCAGGGTGGTGCCACCAGGGAGGACCTCATCACATGCCAAGCAAGCCTGAACGGTACCTGCGGGTGCTTGATCCATGGGATTCTTGAAGAAGCCCACCTCGCAACAGGAGTGCGAGGTCATCGTCAGGGTCCCTGGGTCACTGTTCATGGTAGCCTTCCTCTGTCCAAAGCATGAGAGGCTTACAGCTGCCCAGAAATCTGTTTGACGTGTCTTTACTTGCCAGAAGAATTAAGACAGGTCCTGGATGACCAACCATTGACAATCTACAGTATGACTTTTGTCGCAAAGGCGATCAATCAATTGACCCAAAAACGTACAAGTAAAAAACAATGAAACAAACGAGTCCACCCTGCCTCGCAAAGGCAGTACTGCTGACCAAGTTCCCATTGCGAACTTCCAAAGGGGCACGGCTTGCATGCCTCCAGGCCCAACTCATCCCCATAACTTTGAGCTGTGCATCGCACACAGCCGCTGCTGCTATTGGCTGCACGGAATGTGCCCAATGGACACTTTCGACATGTGCCTGGACCACAATGCAGCTGCTCTTTTGCGTACATTGAAATGCTTTTGCCTGAGGCCTTATTCTATTCTATTGTGCATCCCCTAAATTTGTGTTGAAATCTATTTGGGGACCTCTATCAACTCCAGAGTCTCTTCCAAGCCAAATCCAGCCTCCATCAGAGACTCCATCTTGGTATCTCCCAGCCCCGCAAGGCGGGCACTCGACCAGGGGCCCAGGCCCGTGGCCAGGTAGAACCCCACGACCAGCTGGGCACAGCTCACATTCCGAAAAGTTCAAAGGCGAAGTCCCTGTAGAGCGAAACCGCCCCTCCTGCCACATCGAAGAAAAAAGGCACAGCACTGTATTTTCCACCAGTTCACAACACGTCCGAAGCTCTTTGTTGATTCATCGACCAGCGCCGACCAGCGGCAAGCTCCCAGATGCTCAACCTCCCAACCATCTTTACTCGGACCAACACCTCCCAACGATCCGGACTATCTCCTGGCAGGGCAAACACTTGGTCGGAAGGTTGCCGCGTGGCCCAGCCCAGCTTCCAGGAGGACAACCACCTCGGACCTGGGTAGTCGGCCCGGTGTACTCTCCCCAAATTCTACCCTTTGCTCAACTAATCTAAACAAGCATTTTCTCACCCTTTGCTCAACAAACCCTTCGGTCTTCATGATGCCTTGGCCTGGGTGAAAGACAGGCCGAACCCCACCGACCTACCTTATGGCACTCTATTTAAAGTTTATGATTTTGAGAGCAACGTGTTCAGTGCCCCAAATCCCCCAAAACAACGGGGTGGGACCAAAAACCGGAGGCCCCAAGCCCAGTTTTTCGCTGCAAACGAGGAACCTCCCAGCTGGGACTTGGGCTACGAAATCTCTCCTGGACCAACTCCGTTGGCAACACTGGCCTGGAGCGAGGGAGAGATTTCTGGAGAGACCGAGGGTGAGATCGCAGAAATGGGAAAGATCAAGTCTAGACCAGGACCACAGAAGGGGTGGTTTATGAACACTCCTGACTATAAATATATGTATGTTCCATCCAATCACCACCCATTCCGTGGTGCTGGGACAGGTTTTTCTTTTCTACCCCTATTTCGATGCAAGTGGCCCCTCTCCCAAATAGGTCGGAGTTCAACCAGACTGTTCCCTCGCAATGAGCACCATCGTGTTTGGCCCTAGAATCCAAACATGTGCGTGACTCAAGAATTAGAAGACCTACACTAAACAAGATTGGGAGATATTGGGAGAAGTTTGATTGAGCCAAAACAAGGACGATGAAGGGCCATTCCCTGGAAATAGCAACCTTCCCTGCATCTACTGTACATATTTGGATGATTTGATCATGTTCTCGATCGCTTGACAAGGTTTGGAGGAAGCACAGGTGCAGGGAAACAGTCTGGAAAACTTTCTAGTTTGCCTGGTCAGTTCCTTACCTGAGGTTGGACCTCTTGCTTCACGGGCCCATCCCCGCCTTGCTTCACCGTCCTCGAGCACCTGCCAACTCACAATAGCTCGGCCAATGTTCTGGTTGTTGCGGTCGAAGCGGATCCGGCCGAAGACCGTCTCATCTTGAAAACGACCTGGACGAATCCAAGGGGAGGGAGTTGCCCTCGAAGCAACGACTGCTTTAAGCCAAGCACTCTGAAGACCGAACCAACCTGCAGCTAAATATATAGGGTTATTATGGTTATTTTGCTGACATCAGCTGGACTCAAACACCAGTCTTTCGGCTGAATCTGAGTTCTTCTCTCCTTGGAAAACGCCGGTTATTCCGTAGTATGCACGATGTCAGGTCGCTCCCTCTTTGCGCTCAACCGACATCTGCTTTGTCCAAACGTCGCGTCAACACTTCAGAGCCGGCGTGATACGAAAGAAAAACCCAGTTTCTACAGCCAGGGGCGTGGTAAACGTGTCATACGGCCGCGACAACGCTCTTCGCTCTCGAAACTGTGAGTCCAAGTCCAAGCTCATGTACAGTACCAGCATCTCAAACCCTTGGGGCCGTGGGCAGTTCAATCTCTTTCGTCTCTTTCTATTGGACTTGGTCCTGCTCCACTCCTCCCAGCTTGGCCAACATGTTCTCCCACTACTCCCGGCCTAGGGAGCTTCGGATCCACTCCCGACGCTCCATCGTCGTGAGCCCCGACCATGAGCCGTTCTCCAGAGCCGAGGTCCTCATGTGTCGCCCCGTTCGACGGACGAACGGGGCGACGAAGTGGCGGGAAAGTCATGGGAGTCTCAGTCGTCCTAGAGTGAAGAAGACATCCAAAACGAAACATCCAAAGTACTGATTTTGTACAGTAAAGACATGCAGGGAACAAGAACCAAGATCGCTACCGAGTTTTCATGTCAAGATTCCTCAGGAGTCTTTGATGCTCCAGATCCATTCAGGGTTCATGTCCAAAGGGTACGAAAATCCAGGGGGACAAGCCAACCCCAAAATGATTGGTTTGGAATGGTTTGGATAACATACTGACCATAATTAAGCAGTTTTCACCAACCCGTGACATACTGGAACAGACTTTGTAGCCCAGCCATCGGAGATCGAGTGGCTCCAGATTGCTTGATTCACCATTGCAGCTGGAGCTCACTTTGCTTAGGAATGATCCAACAATGGTGTGGGGGGGTGAGATGGTCTAACCTGTGTGCAAGTCAGCTTCGGGACGTGCCATGATCCTTTGATTGACCTTTTATCCATCCCTGTCACCGCGGTGCCACCACACTCACCAGTTTTCATCCAAGCATCAGGGCCACTCCAGCAGCAATGCAGGCTGCAGAATCGTAGCTGGGCACATGGCCGTACTTGACTCTGTATCCTCGGCGGTCGGCGGTCGTGGGCCAGGACCAGAATGGCACAAAGGGAGCCGACCACGAGTGGATTCTGGAGTGACTTTGACTCGCTGATACTCGTTTCACATTCAACAACTCGTCAGACCCCCAAACCCGCACAAGTATTATTACATTCTAATAAGGAAAACTGTTGCAGCGACTGGGAAATCCTGGATTGTCTTGGAAGAGAGGAAGGGTAAGGGAAGTTGCAGAAAGCATGGTCTGGCAAAAGAAAAACCTTGCATGTGAATGCATGTGACACAATAACTAATAACAAGGTTTGTCGTCCGCCAGCCACCGCCACACGTTGCCGAGCACACGGGAAGCGACCCCGCAATCGATCACCACCTCCACTGCCTCCACTCCAAGGGTTCGATCTCAAGGCCTCCAGTGGCCTCCCTGTCCTGGTCAATTCAGTACCATCAGTTCAGGTCGACTTCCCCTCCAAAATCCGAGTGTCCTGAGACCATGGCTCTGGAGCTTCCAAAGATGGGGTCCGAAAAGTTCAGCAAGTGGTGCCATTGACCGGCGCCCACGTTATAAACGCTTTCCTCAAAGCCAAAAGCCCGGCTGCCATTGGGCCAGTAGGACCTAGTGGAGCCAGTCGCCAGTCGACACGACTCGAAAGCACCAAGTCGCAACATTCATTGGATGGAATGAAGCCAAGAAACTCATAGCCATTCGAAGCATTCCCAGGCACATTAGGCCCGCCGTAGTACCTGGGAAGGTTCCAAATGATCGTGAGATCCAGCACGAGCAGGAAAGAACGTCTATCCTGGCTATCCCTAAAATCTATTCTTGTGCCGAGCCAGCCAGGATGTTGTTCTTAGTTACAAGTCGAACAACTGGAACGCAAAAACTAGTTGTTGTATCTCTCTCATCTATCTCTCTGTCTCTCTCTCTCTCTCTCTCTCATCTCTCATGTCTCATGTCTCATCTCTTCTCTAGATATATGTATGTATTTATATAGTACTACTGGTACATATGTACAATGCTGCAAAGGGTAGTGCTGTGCTGTACTCTTACTCTCGAGGCTGCTGGACTTCATTTTTGTGTTCTTTGGCCTTCTACGAAGACCATGTCGTCTTGTTCTGACACCTAGGCTGCCCCAGGTGCATCTTGTAGCTGAACTTCTTGTTGATCATGGCTGCCATCCCACTCCGGGAGGCTCTCAGAAAGTTCAACACCTCGGTGCAGCTTCACAAAAAACCTGGACATACCTGGACTAAATGCCAACTGGTCTCCTTCAGCACAAGCTTCAGAAAGTACACATGCAACACCCACCTCCTACCGTCCATTCCACCCTCCTGTCTTTGTTTCCGGGCTATGCTGCTCAGAAAGGCGACCTGATCAATGAAGAGTTCCTTCGTTCGCGGTTTATCACTGGTGATCACTGGTGATGTCCTCACTGTTCAGACAGCCCCTTCGCCGCCGGTCGACCGACCCGTTCCCGGTCGGTGCCGTCGACCCAACGTAACCGGTCGAGAGGCCATCTCAGGATCCTCACCCTGGGAACGAACGTCCTGCAGGCACGACCGAACGTCCTGAGGTCGAAGACGGTGACACACCGTTACGTGGCTTCGAGAGGGCACCTCTCGCGACCCAGCAGGACATGTGTTTGGCAGCAGGACCTTCAAAGTGACCTTTGGAATCCTTTTGGGATCCCCAGGACTAGGTGACTTAGGCCTGCAAAAGGCAACTTAGAGACTCCAAAGGGATCCATAGGGGTCAATGGTATTAGTAGATCATTTCTCTTTGGGGGGGTTGCCATTATGTTGGCAGCGGCAAACTGATTGGCGGTTGCACTTGTTTTTTCAAGAAGTAGAGATCATCTTGAAGATCTGCCCCAATCCACCATGAACAAAACATAATAGAAGCCCATTGTTCCTTCAGAATCCGCCCTATTTCAAAATTCCAGCAAATCCAAATGGCATAGAATCAGTTCCACGATGTTCCGCATGACGTGTTCCTCTTGTTCCCCATCGCTCTCCTCAATGATCCCTTCCACAAAGCTCACCAACGCAGGGGACACAAACTGAGCGCCGGAGTCAAAGCCAGGTTCTACCACCTTGCTCTCAGCCATTTTTTAATGATACGGCGACCACCGAGATCTACACCGGAACGTGGAGGTATCTTTGGTATGTAATCAGTACTCTTACAACAAAAGCATCCCTGACCGGATAGTGGACAAAAAAAATGCAAACACATGAGCCTCAAGACTGTGACCTCAGGTCTACGATTTCTTCCAAGCTGCTCTGATTTGTTCCACAGTATTTTCTGATCCATTTCGCCCTGAACTGGTATTATTTAAAAATAACATAAATTGATAAATAAAACAGAAGCACCGGTAAACCATGATGAGACCAGGCTATAGGCTATGTTGATGGATCTGGTGCCAGCCGAATCAAAGATTTGTTGCATGCCGATGCCATGAACTGTAAAGAAGGGCTGGGGATCTCAACTGGCCCACTCAAGCGAGGCTCTGATAATATGATGTACAGTACACGACTCCAGGACACAAGGGGGCGGTAGAGGACGCTATTAGGAGCAAAGGGCATCGCTACTAGGAGCGATCGGACGCTACGAACGGGGCTCCGGGCCGTACTACTGGGATTGCTGGGAGCAATCCCGCTCCAAGATCTCAAATTGGCCGTCGGGCCGTCAGCTATATATCCTTCGTTTTCGGTGTCACTCCCAGCTCACCCTGCTGGTCCCAGCGTAAAGCACATATCTGATATGTCTTCCGTTCCCCATATGAGACATATCTTCTCAAGCCATACAAGTATGAGATATCCTTTTGGGGGTCGATTCCATCTCTGGGCCAAACTGGACACGGTGTCTTCACACGGAACCCATCTCTTCACATTCCCAACCATTCCAACCGCGGCACGCAGTCTCGACCTCATCACCACAGCAGCAGCGCCCCTGCTGTACTGAGCAGCTGGTGACGTTCTGCCAACGGTCACACCACTCAAGGCTGGGCCCCACCACACGGAGCTGCCCCACCACGCCCGAGGAGCGGAAGAGGCTCTCGGCGGCGGCTCGGGCGGCGCTGCCCAGGATTGCGTCCTCCGAGTCGCCTCGGAGCAAGGCGAGAAGCCACGTGGGTCGGTGGTGAAGGTGGAGAAGCATGTCATACAGGATGGGTAACTTATGTGGAGAAGCTCTCACATGATTTGAGTTGAATACGATTTTGCGGTCACAACTGATCTTGGGTCTGAAAAGATGTTCCAAAAAGCCGAGGGATTTGATCCAAACATCGCACAGATGATTTTAGATGACCACGACTGATTGTATAGACTAGAACTTTCACTCTACGCCCACTCCTCTTCTGGGATTGATAGCGTCGGCCCCAAATGACCGGATGGAATCTGAAGAAGCGAAAAGGTACCGTCAGTGGTGAGAACAGTAGCTTCTTGTTACTACTAGCGTCTTTGTTACTAGTAGTAAGGCACTTGTTACTAGTAGCGATGCACTTGTTCCTAATAGCCAGCTTCTTGTTACTACTAGTAAGGCACTTATTACTAGTAGCGATGCACTTGTTACTAGTAGCTTCTTGTTTCTAGTGGTGAGACTTCACAGCCCTTGGCCATTTCTGCCCAGTGTCGAATGATTACCGCAGACCGCAAATTCTCAAGGACCGCCTCAATAGAGTCATGGAGCAAGCAAAGCGCCTTATGGGGCATAAACCATTTTGGATAGCATTGTATAGGCTAGTGATCATGCAACGTTCAGGCAAGTTCAAAAGCCTTACAGTAACTAACTATGCCAACCAAATGAGTCTCAGGCTGGCTGGGTCACTTTGCCTCATGCTCTCAAGTTGCTGGACAACCCCGACTCCTCCGTTGCTCCCACATGCGCCTGCCGTATGGCCTGCTCGGGATACCATGTGAACGGCAAATGGAAGCCTCGCCGCAGCAGGCAAGACGCAGCTGAAAAGCCTCCAACTTATCTCTGCAGTTGGAAAAGAACACTTGTAGCGTCTTCGTTGTAGTAGCGATGCCCTTTGTTACTATCTAATTTTCTCTACAAATGATCTCCTGGATCGCTGCAAGTCCCTGGTCCGACCCCAACATCGCTCCGACCCCTTCCGACCGAGGTGCCGAAACCGAAGTCACTCACCGGAGTCCAAATGGCTGGGTTACCACCTGCGGCGGTCAGGAAACACCATTTCGCTCAGCCGAAGAAGAACAGCGAGCGACGGTTGTGGATGTGGGTGTCTTGAAAGAGGGAGACTCTTGACCTATGTGTTTTTGGCGTGCAAGTCTAGCTCGATGTACTAAACACTATCGAAACCACAGAGTGACTTCCCGTGTGTCGAAGCCGGGAATTGCTGAGACACAGTCACTTCTAGATTCCGGAGGCTTGATACATTCGCGCGGCTCGTTCTCACCTGAGCAATGCAAGTTGGGAATACCGTAGGGTTCAGCTGCAGATTTGATCTCCTTGTTCCAGCTGGACGAACCGACCACAAGAGCATCCACGCTCTCCGTCTGTGCCATATCCACACATCTCTGTATTCTTGGAGCTGCATCTAAGGTATCATTGCAATGAAGCACCTGAATGGGCAAAGAAGCAAAACCCAGGCGAATTCATGTCACAGTCACCCCCGGCATGAGCTTGTCCTTTTCTCCGATGTTGTAACAAACATTTAAACAGAAACACAATCTCGATAAATTGAAATTGGCTTTAGCTACTCAACCTCCAAAGTGTAGCTCCTACCAGAAATCGCAAGGCCACCCATGACAAACTCTGTGAAGTAGCTGAAGCCGTCTTTCCAGTCCTCAGTGTGAACAAAGTCTCAAGAACTTCCGAAGACTCATGTCTTTACTGGTGACGCTGCGCATGTCTGGTTCCACTACCATATACCAAAAACCCATGAAGAGCAACATTGGGACAAAAAACAATGCAAAATGAGGGCCTTCTTTTTCAAAGTCTTTGCTGAGCGAAGACTTGTGGAGACATTGCTTTGCAAGGTATTCTGGAAGAACAGCACCTTAAGATCTCCAGCATCGACCGCCAACGTCCGCAAGGTCAAGGCAAAGTGGAAAAGCAATCGCCAATGGCGGAATAGCCATGTGCTCATATTGACCTGGACATGGACCTAGACTATTCTACACAGCTTTCAGCTGTCAGCTAGGGCACGCCGCACTTTGTGCAGAATAAACCCTACCTGTTACAAAGCCAAAGGATCTGCGAAAGTGAACACTGCATGAGTGGGCTCATCGACACACACGGGCAGCTGGGCAGCTACAATTTGGATGTGGAACATTTGTCAAAGCTGCGCGACCCAAGCACCAGCAGCTTCCGATAATAGGGAAAACCTCGGACACCTCAAAGCCTGATCTGATTCACTCCCAAAGATCATGGTGTCTGACTTCACAAAGATTGGCTCCAACTGAGGTGTTTTCCCTGCGATTCCTCGAGGAAAGGACCAGTGTTTTTTTCTCGCATCCGTCGCTGTGAGACTTTGTCGCTGCGAAGTTGCGGAGGAAGTCCTCTTTAAACCTGGCAAAGGCTTGGCTGCATGACTCATTGTCCGCAAAGGAATGAATGTGTTGCAAACCAATCCAGTGGTATGGTATGGTAACACCTAAACAACCAACTGTAAAACTTTAAACAAAACTTTTTACTCCCTTAAAGGAACAATACCCAAGCAACTGTCTGTACAAAGCCTCAAACTTCTGTGCAAAGAAGCCTGTACAAACCTGTGATGTGATGTGGACATGTGCGTGTCTCCTCAAGCGTGGTGTAGTTCAACGTCGTAGTCCATGATTAAGTACTGTCGTTAACGACAACAAGCAGTCGCTGGCAGGGTCAATCAATCTGTAAACTCAAATTGAGCATAAAAATAAACATGTCACACATGTCACTAGCAACTCATGTTGACTGTTGATCAATAAAACCGCGCTACCAAATGCTACCAGAATGGTTTTCTACATCTCCATATGGTGCTTTCATCGTTCAACAGTCAACATCAGTGTTCTCAGGCCAACTGATCCAGAACCGATCCAGTCAACCCAACGGCTCATGCCACTGCCGTGCGACAGCCGACACTGCGCAGCGACACGCTGGCCGTGGCCAAAGATGAGCGAATATGACCGGACAGTCAACACTCAAAAGTCCCCCCTTGCCAGTGGTCATCGGTTGTTCCGCATATTAGACCTCGAAGAACCAAGGATATCAAGGCATCATGTTTCCTTCCGGCGAGAGTCTCGTATTGTACTGGCTCCCGAGTCGGGCTCCCCCCCACAGCACCAGCGCCAAGTGATGGAGAGCCGGTTCTGAGAAACCTCTGGCACCTGCCAAGCATGGCCATAGGTCATGGCCCGGGCACAAAGAGGGTCTCTAAAGCATCTAGAACACGCATGAATCCATAAGCATCCAAAGGCAAACAATATATCTCCGAATGGCTTCGGTAATCGCTGGTTTTGCCAAACCGAACCGGGTCATGTTCCACTTCAGACACCTTTGGTAACCCCAAAAAACATCAAACAACTCAACTTTTCAGCACACCACAAATTACTCTGGGTCACCTACACACAGGAAGTAAGGTGGCGATTGTGTTTAACGTTCTAAGACCATCCTAAGGATAGTTAAAGCAAATTTCGGCTATTCTCGGGGGGTACAAATTTACCCTGATGTCCTTGGAACTGCTGTGCTTAGTGGCATGACCCATCACCAGGTAGAACCTCACCCAATATCCTTCACATGTCTTCACTAGTGCCCCGGAGATCGTATTGTTTAGATCTGCTATTCAGCACTGCTGGACAGCAGTCTCATGAGAATAAGTGAGCACTGATGAGATATTTGTGGGGGTTTAGATATTGATATTCAGCTGCAGTTGTTTACATATGCTATTCAGCACTGCTGGACAGCAAAAATGTTTAGATGTGCTATTCAGCACTGCTGGATAGCAGTCTGAATAAGTGAGCCCTGATGAGATAGTTGTGGCAGTTTAGATACGATATTCAGCACTGTTGTTTAGATCTGCTATTCAGCACTGCTGTCCAGCAGTGGTTTAGATATTATGCTATTCAGCGCTGCTGGACAGCAGTTGTTTAGATATGCTATTCAGCATCGCTGGACAGCAGTTGATTAGATATGCTATTCAGCGCTGCTGGACAGCAGTTGTTTAGATATGCTATTCAGCATCGCTGGACAGCAGTTGATTAGATATGCAATTCAGCACTGCTGGACAGCAGTGGTTTAGATATGCTATTCAGCACTGCTGGACAGCAGTTGTTTAGATATGCTATTCAGCACTGCTTGAGCAGCAGTTGTCTAAACATGATATTCAGCACTGCTGGACAGCAGTGGTTTAGATATTCTATTCAGCACTGCTGGACAGCATTTGATTAGATATGCTGTTCAGCACTGCTGGACAGCAGTTGATTAGATGTGCTATTCAGCACTATATGCTATTCAGCACTGCTGGACGGCAGTTGTTTAGATATTTGGACAGCAGTTGCTTAGATATGCTATTCAGCACTGCTGGACAGCAGTGGTTTCTGGACAGCAGTGGTTTAGATATTCTATTCAGCACTGCTGGACAGCA